TAGCCATTGTCGAACCGGAAGAACATAGTGTCACTGTTTTGACTAGTGTGTAAAATCATTTTGGAAGTAAAATCTGAATCAATAAATTAATTTTCACTATGCCAAGAACCACCCACAAAGGTGACTAACAGCAAATTAAATTCTTTCTTTCCATTTGCAACAAATAACTAAACAGGTATAACAATAATTACAGTTCGCCAGGGGTATCTGTGTTGATGAAAATAATGCGGAAAAAATGTGGGTTGTTATTTGATTGTTGCCACGTCTACATAATGTGCCGAATTGCTGTTTATGTTGGTAGTTTCCGTTTTAAATTATAACCGAAATGTAGATTTGGAAAACTCTAACGGACAACATTTTGAACACTTATTGAAATAAAAAGTGATATTTCCGTATGTTTTTGTTTTCTATCTGAACAAATTAAGATAAATAAGGATTTTTCTAATTTTCTCGACTGATACTAAAAACCAAACGTCAAAATAAAGGAATTTGAAAAAGTTGTCCCCCTTGACAAATCTTTTGAGGTGTCTCGGCGTTTTTTCTTTTAATGTGTGGTTTTCGATAAATCCGTTAGGTATGGGAAGTTTTCAAATATATAACAAAAAAATGTATCAAGTCAGCCAAACAGGTCCATATATAATTAGTCTATACTCCATAGTCCAAAGCGTTTGATAAAGATATCAGATATCACAGATATTCAAAAATATCGGTATCGGCCATCTCTATTGAGGGGAATCAGCACAGACGCCAAATGTTTTGTCCTATGTTTCTCTAAAAAGTATGCATAATTAGGTTTTGCCCATGCCTACCATGTAGTATTTGCCAAAAAGAAGTTATGTGGATTCTAAGTAGTTTAAACATGGTAGTTTGGAGGTTTTTTTTTTTGTGAATTACTTTTCTTCAGAAAGAATAAAACAAATTTCTGAAAAACAACTATTTGAATTAGTTTCTACCACGACGCCCTAAGCGCCACGAAAAGTCTATATTGTTAATGTTCAATTTCTGTACATTGTAAATAAATTAAATAGGGTCACAAGTGCGTCGAGTGTTATAGGAAATAATTCATGTATTTATCAGCAGTCATTCTAATGAAATTGGAGCATACACACACACACACATATATATATATATATATATATATATATATATATATAACATATATATATATATAACTTGAGACGTGGTCATTGTCGTCTAGACCAGTTAGGTGAATATTAAAGCGTCCTCCTTTTGTTGGGTACTTCGACAAAATTTAAGCAAGGACTCTTTATAGAGAGATTAGAAAAGTATAGAGTCCTCCTTGCTTAAATTTTGTCGAAGTACCCAACAAAAGGCGGAAGCTTTAATTTTCACCTGTAGGTATATATATACAGGGTGACTTTGAAGTTGAGTCATTAATTTTCAGATAATGATTGTAGAAGGAAGATAAACCAAAATATGTGTGTAAAAATAAAAAAAAAATAAAAAAAATTTTTTACCTTGTTTTATAAAGTATCCTCCCGACAAGTATTTCAGTGTATTTGATCGTGAGGTCCCCTGTGAGGCCTTAAGTCACCTGATTCACGAGCCCGTTGTACTACATTAACAAAGGCACGAGGGGTTGGTTGCACTCGATTGGGAAACCGATCCGCATAAACATGTACCATTTTTTATTTCGTTTGAGCCACGCAACAGATACCACTATTCACTGACACTGACTGTATACAAATGAATGAAATACTTAAACATCGTTCCAAATTCTTTCGCTTTTTTGTTTCCGATGCGATGAACCGATACGGCGGATTATATCCGTTGTCGCCAAACACGAGGACATAATATTATTATTGAGACAGGGCGGTACTCAAACTTCCAAAGGGCTATAACTTTGTTACTTTAATTTTACCAGAAAAATGGTAAAGGAAAAAAACATTTCTTTTGATCAGATCTACTCACTGTTAAAATAAATGACTCAACTTCGAAGTCACCCTACCCTGTATATATATATATATATATATATATATATATATATATATACAATGTGTTTCGACATACCGATAGTTCAGGGGGATATTTTTCAGCTATTTTTATCGACAAATCCACCCCCTACAATGTCATACCTCACCCCCCCCCCTTGAAATGGATCCATGCTGCGAACGAAATTAGGGCTGACACGGATATGGTCTGCCGCTCAACACGACACATTGTTTTAAGAACAACAATGTGCATAACTAATAATGGAGGATATTTTGAACAGCTTCTGTAACATTAAACATGTCCAAACTCTCTATAAGGAACATTGGTTTGTCATTTTTATGTATAAAAAGTTTGAAAACAATTTGCATTTTATTACACCCATTTTGACCCATGTTAGATAGCATTTATTGCTTAACGTAGAATACTTACAATAACAGTAGTTTGCTTGCTAATTAGCTGTAGAATTAGCACAAAAAAAGTACAACTTCACAGACTAGTTTTTGAGTGGTGTCCGAAAATGCACAAAATAATCAATTTTCTTCCACATTTTTTTCTGTTTTTGTCTGTTTTTAAGTATGTTTGACGGTTATTAAGAAAACACGTTTTTCAATAATCGCTAGGACAACATATCATCATTCAAATGACACCAAATTTATCATTATGTGACAATTACGTACTCAGTTATTATATATATATATATATATAGGACATTGTAGGGGGTGTATTTGTCGATAAAAATAGCTTAAAAATACCCCTCTTAAATATCTTTATGTCATGACCAAACACATTATATATATATATATATATATATATATATATCTGGCCATGCATGCGGAACTTGTGGGTAATTTCATAAATATGTTGCATCTTCTCCATGTAGGCTTAAAAAACAACAAAAACAGTAATCAAAAAGAATACTGGAAACAGAAGTGTCTGTGTGATTAGCCTGTTTCATCTCTAATTAGAACTCTTTTTTGTATATCTTCACAACGCGGAGAAGAAGCAAAAATGAATAAAACGGAAAGTGTAATAACAGCAATACCGCCCGGTTTTTGCTAATCGGCCCTCAAGGGTTTTTTCTTAATTGGGAAAATGAACAAGCAAAGAGGACTTAATGAGTACTCTGTTCGGCAAACAAACAAAATGCCTCATTGTCGGGAGACAAACGCTAGAGGCCCCTGTACCGTCAAGGCTTAACGCAATCATTTCTACAGGGTGTATACACGCAAGCGTTTCAATCTCGCCCCATGTTTCCGTAGCATCAATGCGGCAGATACTGTCTGTCGTATGTCTTAGTGCTTTCAACGCCAACGATGCCGTTTAATGTATAATTAATTTATGATTGTAATTAATTGTAAGATTATGAAGTTGACATATAAATTCGTGTCGAAAGTTTTCCTATAAAATTGATGAAATTTGGGCAAACATCAAATCCAACACCTCTAATAACAGCATTCTTCTACCAAAGATATGTTCATTCCGGCGGATCGGAGTTCAGATTATTTGATCTGGTACGAACATATATCATCAATAGCGACAGCTGTTGGGAAAAAACTAGGCTATTTGTTAAGGATTAAGAAGCACTTTTCTCCACACGACCCCTCACACTATAGGCAAAGATCAGACCTAGCCTCGAGTACTGCTAACATGTTTTGGGTGCTGCCGCCACGACTACATTATCCATATCCGATGCTGTTCAGATGAGGACTGGCCGACTAATCCGACTTTTTTCTGAGAGTCTCTGAACCCTTTCATACCGCCGGGCCGTCGACACTATAGTTCTCTTCTACCGCTACGCCAACGAGCTCACCTCCATGATGCCGTCGCACGGCACGGCTATTATGTAAAAAACCTATAAAATATCATCTTGCAGACTAGGTAGTTTTTAGGATGCAAACAGTTATTCCACGTTTGCTCACTAGGATCGTTGTGAGCATCCATCTATGGAGGAATAGCTCAAGTATACGCATTGTTGGTTGCATATGTTCTGTGAAGCCGAGTAGTCTGTAGTTTTCATCTCTAAGAAGAAAGTTGGTTCAATAGCAAGATCGCATCTGGATGATTGTGTTTATTGATCTGCATATGTATGAAATCAGTGATATTTGCTGTGTGAGAAAAGCATTACTGAATATGCTGCCAAGGAAGTATATCTATTAGCTGTGTCCGACGGGTTATTTATATGTTGTCCTTTCTGAAGACAGGTTATTTATCTATTCATCAACGAGCGACTGCCCAATTAGGGTATGTTCAAAGTTATAAATTACGACTTTTTTGGTTTTTTGTGTTTTCAAAAACTTTGAGGAGAATTACAGGAAATCACCACCGCACCCGCGTTGTGTGTAAATTACTGTTAGCATGTATATGACTTGTAATTCGACAGTGTACGGTTAATAATAATTTATATTATTTCTTATCTGTCTCGTTTTTGAAATTCAGCAAATTTGCATACGTAATTTCCAGAATGGATTAGAACAAGTGGATGCGCAACTAATTTCTACCGTTGAATCTCGAAGTAAATATATTTGAGACGAGAATGCAATGCAATTATCATCAACACATTATCAGCAGAAAAATCCTCACTATGCACCTATTCATTGCCGGTTCCTTCTAGCTAGTCTATACAACTTACAGCTTACACCTCCAATAATGCCAAGTCTGAAGGTTTTTACATCTCATCAGAGCCAAACATTAATAACTGAATCCTCATGACGTTTAGACAACACGTACAACTACAAAACGAGTTCACGTCTCCATCAGCTAGTGCTAAGTTAACATCTTGTAGAAAAACCTACATAATGTCACAAAAAAACAAAACAATGTCAAAAAAAATCGGCATTGAATAAACTCTTTGCACACTAAAAACTACCTAGTATGCAAGATGACATTTTGTCGTTTTTACGTTTTTTTAGGTTTTTTCCAAAATACCCCTGCCGCCTGACTTTGGCCTCCCAGTCTAATCATAAAACTTTGTACATTCATTATAATTAATTGATCACATGATATAAAGGTTTTACCAAATATTCTACGCAATTTTCTATTTGTTTCAGGGTGATTCTCCTTTTGGCAAGTCGGAAGCATACATAAAACTAGAACAATTAGGTGAAGGATCTTACGCAACTGTGTATAAAGGCTTTAGCAAGTAAGTAATTTGTCTCCATTCTCACCAAAAAAAAACAAAGATGTGTTTTGTAAATATTATTTTAATTCGTGGCTAGTTACAAAGAAAATGAAATACTGTAACGAAAACACCGTTTTTGCTGTTCAAAGTTTAATTTATTGCTTTTACACTAATTTATCACAACAAGCGATTGGATTTACTATCTTACCAACCCGGTTTTCACTTGAACGCCGCCAGATGCGGCACCAAGTCAGCTTGAGACAGCGTTGCCAGGCGTACGATAATTATCGTTTCTGTACGATAATTTCAAGTACTGTACGTTGTACGATACTATATGTAGGATAATAGCTGAATATACGATAATTTTTCGAATGAGCTTTTTTACTCTCAGATGTTGAATTAATCTAACAACTACGTTCAATTAACACCAGCAAGCAGCTGTCAGTGCTGCCGCTTGGTAGACAAGCGCGTGTACCCCACTATGTATAATGGGTTGCCTAGCATGACGCGGACTATCTCGGCAAACATCAACGGGAAACATTGCCGTCAATCAGTTATCACGTTCTATGTATTGACATGACGCGCATATTTTTATTTACCCATGTGCAATAGATGAAATGAATGCGACGTCTCCCGTTTTTATGACTTTTGAAACTTAAAAATCAAAAGATCGTTTTCAGTTATTTTCGATATTTAACCGGTTTAACGATAATTTGTCGGTGTCCGAATCAAGTTGCTCTGTCAGAGTACAAAAGGAATGGAGCGGAATCTTTGAAGAAAGCCAAACATAGGCTCCACGGAATGGAGGAGATGCGGGTTCGAACCCCACCGGCGCCCGTTTTTCAAATCTCTCAAGTTGTTGTCTGCTAAATATATATGTATTATGATTTTCATATGTTTGTTGTCTTATAAGAAAACATCCATGAGTCAACGAAACTCTGTTTATTGCAGTTTACAAAACCAAGTGGTGGCGTTAAAGGAGATTAGACTGCAAGAAGAGGAAGGTGCTCCGTTCACTGCAATTCGAGAAGCTTCCCTGTTAAAAGAACTGAAACACGCCAATATTGTTACCTTACACGACATTGTACATACGAAGGAAACCCTCACGTTTGTTTTCGAATACGTTGTAAGTTTAATTTCATTTATATTATGTGATAGCCGCATATTTGATTTTTCTTACTTCTCCAAAAACGTTATGCTCGTTTTCTTATTTCAAAATGGGATAACTATCGTTCCATGGGCGCCCGCAGGAGTTTTTATGAGGAGGAGCCGATCATCTGCAAGATCAAGATTTTGTGAAAGTGTACTTGCCCTCAAAACTTTTTGAAGAGCGGGAGATAGCAATTGTTTTCAAAAATCTTAAACGTACCCAAAATGGTACACAACATATGCTAAATGTGCAAGTTTTAAGGGTCAAGAGTCATTAGCGGGCGCCCATGGATGGTCTCAAACGCGCAAATGTAAAAAGCTACCACTAAAGTGTCGTAAATGGTATGGTGATATGCCTATTTTTGTGCATCTAAGAACAGTACAATTTTTGTAAGGCGATGGTTGACCCATTTTTAATCCATTTTCACCATGAATCATAAATACGAAGCAGTGCCCCTATTCTTGACTTTAATAGAAAATCACACTCCCTCTCTTTTCCTACTCCCCTGGTTTTCTATCGATTCGAAAATACTGTATTCCTCAAAAAGTAACCAAAGATTTTGGTCAAGATTTCCTTTTATAATTTTATCTATGGAGCCGAAAACTTTAAAAAACACATTACAAATGAACAAAAGAACAAATTGATTGAATTTCTCCGTTATCACCTCCAAATGCACCAGGCAAACTTCAATAATAGATTAAAGGATACTGTTTTCGAATGACTAAAACTTAATATCTACTCTTGCCTTTGTTGTGATCGAAAGTACAGAGGTCGTGGGGGTGGTTGTATGAATGGCGTCAATATCTCCAGCAATTCCTACACCAAAGCTTTGGTCAACCTAAACATCTGTACAAATGTTCGATCCGAAATTATGAAAGGATCTCGGTTCCCAAGAATATCTCTCCCAAACTCCCATTCCTTAACTGGGACTATATCCTCGTTGTTAATATCGTTCCATTACATCAATTGATTGAAATTGTCCATTTTCTGCAATATGTTTAGCAGGAACGACAATAACAATGCCAAAAACGTCAATTTTTAGGTTAAGTAAATTCATTTCTATCTCTTTTCGGTAGAATTGATTTCAAGAATACTGCATTTCTTGGCCTCATCCACTTTCTACCATTTTCTCTCACAAGTTCTACTCTCTCAAAGAGGTACAAAGCAGCATTATTTTAGGTGTGTTTCAAAAAAATAGGAAACTTCCTCATTGTATGGACTATTATACAATTTTTTTCGGTCTCAAGTTTTCCGTCAATTCCTGTAATGTTGCGTAATTTTAAACATTTATTGCTATTGTTTTCAAAAGCTCCTTTTTCTCCACAGCACACTGACCTATCGCAGTACATGGAACGGCACGCAGACGGTTTGGACCCCCGTAACGCCAGACTTTTCCTGTTCCAATTGCTGCGCGGTCTGGCGTACTGTCACCAACGGCGAGTGCTTCACAGAGACGTCAAGCCACAGAACCTGCTCATCAGCGAAATCGGCGAACTGAAACTAGCCGATTTCGGATTAGCTAGAGCTAAATCGGTGCCCAGTCACACCTACTCACATGAGGTTGTCACGTTATGGTAAGGATATACCTGTAAATTATTCCAATAATAATAATGGTTATATATCTTGCTGCCTGATGAAATAAAAAAAATATCTTTGTTACCAAAATTTAAAAGAAGAAATAAAAAAATTCTTACTTGAAAACAGTGAAACTTTTACTAGGGTCATTTTTTGGTATGTTGTAGATCTGTCTTTCGCCTATATTCCCCATTTTTTTGTCGTACTATTTACCAAACAGTATATAATATAAATGTTTGACTCATCTATTTTTTTATTGATAAAGTGCACCACTGTTTCTTTGTCTTTTTGTCTTTTGTATCTTTTAAAAAACCATACATGTTTTAACAACCGTTGGTTAGCTAATACCTCTGTTTTTTAAATGTAGGTTTTTAAATTTAAAAAAAATGTTAACGCCAGGTATATTCTAAAAGCTAAATATTCAATGTCATGTAGCTAAAAATGTGCTAGCAGGGTAATGATGAGTTGAAAGTGTACGACCTCAATGGGTATATTCCCCCACGCACAAGCATTTGCTTCTTCTGGTGTATATGTTTATTGCGGGATATGCTTTTTTCTTTTTCTCCTAAATTGTATTTTTCCTTGAATAAACATTATTATTATTAATCACACATGATTGTCTGGCCAATAAAACTACATGACAGAATCTTCTTGACTGTAAATGTTTCAATCACAAAGATTATCTTCAATACAATAACATATTTTTGTACTGAACAAGATCACCTTTGCGATTGAAACGAATAGATTCCGTCAGTACATGTGGTTTTATTGACCAGACAAGCATGGCAGATTATCAACATAAACCACAGTATGAGTTTCAGATGTTAGATTGAATTATTCTATCGTTTTCTGTTAATGTCTTGATGCATAAGAATGTTCGAAACTACCAAATGTCAATACTTAAAACTACCGTCTGTTTTAAACCAAACATTGAAATACGGTTTCCAAACATTAAAACAAATTCTTATTATGACGTTGCATACCTTCAAAATCAGCTATGGTTGTTATAGAAGTAAAAAGTTAAAACGATATACTATGCTGTGGTGTTCTGATGATTGGTTGTTGAGTAATAAGCTATTCAATGTACAAAAGCGCTCATCTTTGATAGCCTGCCGGTCTTCCATTTCTATAGATATGATTTTATGCCCTACGGTTATAAATACGGAGCTTCAAAATGAGGTATCACATCGAATCAGATCGCCTTTGAGATAGCTCCTTGTAGAACCAGAAGAGGTCTACAACTTAAACTACAACTTAACTATCTAATAACATGATGGCATTATGCTAGAGCAGTCTTTCTCAAAGTCCCCTTGTGGGCACTGGGGACCTACGGGAGAGCGGTAAAGAACCTTAAGGAAATTGAGGGGCGATGAAGTGATGTGGTGAGAGGGGCGAAGCTTTTGGTAACTTTTGTTCTCCGCTCTTCAATTGTCATAAGGACATTCGTTGTCAGATGCACTGATGCTACAGCAGATGACACGGCCACCCCCCTCACCCGCTCTTCAATTTGCGGTAGCAGATAGCCCCCACCTCCCCTTAACAATTTCGGAGGCGCTAAAAGACAAGAGAGAACCTCTGTGTTAGAAATAAAGGCAAATCCTACCTATTATGGTAGGTTTTTCTGATATTCTCAATAATTTATTTATAACGTTTCACCCCAATAACTCTGTTCCGTGTTTGTAAGTACGAAAAGGTCTTCACCCCCAGTAGTATGCTAGAAGATTGAACATTTATTCTTAACGCTATGTTTTAAAAATAGTATGTTCAACAAAATCATTCTAAAAGCATTACTCATACAAATAAATGTTTTGCAGGTATAGACCGCCAGACGTACTGCTGGGCAGTACCGAATATTCAACATCTCTGGACATGTGGGGTGTAGGTTGTATATTCGTAGAAATGATTACTGGAATGGCCATATTTCCTGGTTTCAGGGACACGTACGATCAACTAGATAAAATTTTCAGGGTAAGTATTTTAACATAACTAGACAATCAAAAAACGACCTTCAACGCAAACATATGTTTGGTCAACTTTTTTTGTGCTTCCATATTGCAGCGTAGTCGTGGTCTAAATCTTAAAATAGCTCATTGTACTCTTACTTTTTCATTATAATGAATCTGGAATTGTAAATGTATAGGGTTCTTTAAGAAAATGCACAGTCTGCTGTGCAAATCCTTCAACAGAGATCAAAATTTAGATTATGATGTAATTAAATGTTTTTTTTTCTGATTTCTCTGATCATTTTGAATAAGGAAGGTCCTCAGTAACTTGTCTCTAAAGTTAGCCGTTTTCGTGCTATAAGCCATTTAACGGCTGAAAAAAAAAACAAAAAATGGTTAAAAACTTGGCTTGAAATAAAAGCGGGCCAAAAATCATTATTTTTGAGGTTGCCAAGTAACTTTTCCCTGTAAGACCCCGAAGAATAATTCAAGACTAATTCATTTTATAGCGATTTTTAAGCTGGTTCTTTTAGGCCAAAATTGGTGAACTTTTGATTTTCGCAGACTGCACACACACCACCTTCATTAAATTGAAGTCGAAATGTTTTATTTATAACTTATAAGTATATCGGCAGTTAACCTTTTTTTAAATATACATGGCGTCCCAAAAGTCATGGAAAGGTAGCGATAGGGAGTCATTTCCAATCAGAAAAGCCATGTATGTCCTTATCTAATTACACACGGTTTTATCGCCGTTTTGAAGTATTTGTAGAACACCACTACTTTTGTGACTGCGGTCCTTTTTCTAATATTATCTTTTGTTATTTCTCAGTCTCTTTTGTTATCATTGGTGATTTTCTGCAAATACTTGAAAATGCCCATGCCTTCAAAACCGTGCGTAATGGGATAAGAACATATATATGGCTTTTCTCATTGGAAATGACTCCCCATCACTACCTTTTCATGGCTTTTGCCATTGGTTTCGACTCCAATTTAATGAAGGTGGAATGTACAGTCTGCAAAAAATCAATTAATTCTGAATTAATCGGGTTTCAGTTTTAATTTAGATACTTCACAACCTCAAAAGTAATGATTTTTTACAGAGTTTTTAATCATAGAAGATGACCATTTACTAGAGTTTTTCAGGCATTAAGTGGCTTATAGCTGGAAAACGACTAATAAAATAGTTACTAAGGACCGTCCTCTTCTCAGTTGATATCTGTTCATAAAGTGCCGTCGGGTAGGGTTTCTATTTCACACAAATTTTTGTATCTCACTTCGACGATCCTACAGTCTTCCTAATAGCATGCGATCTGACTACATGTTACTATCCAGGTGCTAGGTACCCCAGCAGAAGAAGACTGGCCAGGTGTAAGCCGGTTGCCCGGTTACAAACCTTCAAGGTTAGGCAGGTATCGAGCTCGTCGTCTGGGCTTGTGTTGGCCACGACTACATGACGTACACCACGGAGAAGCGATGGCCGCTGCTTTGTTGCAGTTGGACCCCAGGAAGAGATTGGGGGCCGAGGAGGCGATGACGCATCCGTACTTCGAGGGACTGCCCGCGAAACTTAGGGAACTGCCAGACGGTAAGGATTGACTTGAGTAATAACAAATAATCGATTACACTGTAACTATTCGTCTCCTCTTCTTAAATTTTGATAAAAGCCTCTAAAATATGCTGGTATTAAAGGAATTTGTTTCTGAATATTATCAAACTTTTTGCCCCAATAAGACGGCTTCTATCGGCATTCAGTAATAATATAATGGTTCATTTTCTACTCTTCTATCGAGATTTCGCTGTTTTATTATATTAACAATAGTCCAATTTTCCATTTCAGTAAAAGAGTTTCTGTACTTGGTTATACCAAATTCTTCAATCTGGATCCATCTTACATCTCTAAATGAACATTTCTCATTAGTTGTAATTTTTTCTGTCGACCAGTTCGATTTTTCTTGGAAGTTCTTTAATATCAACAAATTTGTCCGCCATTCTTTTAATATTTAAAGGTGTTCTTTCCTTGCTTCTGCCATGATTGAAATATATTGATCCACCATATAAATTAGTTGGTCCTTTCTCATAGACTTTTCTACAGCTGCAAAATATCTGAATCCATAGAGGTATGTCCTACTTCAGGGAACTTACGGTCAATTTTCTGCACACTCCAGAGATTGTTACGTAGTTCCATAGACAGACAATATAAAACTTTATAATTTGGCCACCTGCCGAATCACTCCATGCAATCAGATTATCGGAAGCCATGCCATGGGCCTTGGTATTTTCTAAAAATGCCATAAGCGAGCTGCCAATCTCTTCAGGACCGCGCTTTCCTTGGTCTTCTGTCCAGACGTGAAACCATTTGCTTGCTTGCTTGCAAATCTTCGCAAATATTTTTACATTTTAAACGAAAACTGAATTAACTCTTGCGTTAACACCTTTTTACCTATTATGTACGAGTTAACACCTTTTAAAGTTTACAGATTGAAGTTTTTGATATAGTTCACTTTTATGAATCTCTGTATCTAAGAACTGAGAGCCATCTTTGGCCGGACAGATGTACTACCAAAAAAGCACCCTTTTGACAGCTTTTTGCACTGCAAATCTTAAAATCCGAAAAACACCTTTTTACACCAAAGTCTTCAATTCATAGTTTATAAATGTTATATTTTACTTTTAAATTACATATATGTCCGTAATAAGGTAGCTATACAGTGTAACTCACAAAATCGTACCAATATTTCTAGAGTCGAAAGTGCAACCAAAAATAACAAAATAGCCCATATAAAAAAGGTATTAAAATGTCCCATCACCAAGATACAGAATGCCACTACCGGGTCGGAATAAGGAAAAGTGCAATGTTCCATGCCAAAATTCACTAACTTCGGGTATTTTGAAAGTAGAGAAAGTAGAGATCAACTACGGGTGAGTTAACAAAAAATTAGAAAATGAATTTACAGGTAAACAGTTAACTTCCAGGTTAGGGAAACATGTGAAACGAATCATGTGGTTCTCAATTCGACAATTATATATATATATATATATATATATATATAACAATATTTTATTTATCTATCTTCCAGGTGACACAAATGAAAGGAAAAGCGAACGAAGCGTCTAGAAGAGAGACAATAAAATTTAGTCAAAGAAGTGTCATGCACTGGAAAAGGTCAATGTTTTGAATAAAAAATAATTTTGATTGGCCAGACAAGGGTGGGATGTCTCCAGGTTACCCCTACCTGGAGTTAACTTAAAAACCGGGTTCATGGGGTTTTGGGTTCCATAAAACACAGTCCATAACACCTCATCAACAGATAAGCATGCTAGCTTATAGTTGATCCACCCTCTCTTTATTGGTCAACGAGAAATTCTAATATGATCATCCATATCAAATTTATAACGTTTGCCCCATTTTCTCTTTCAGACTGTTCGATATTCACAGTAGAAGGCATCCACTTGTATCCCGAGCAGTATTCGACGATAAAGAAATGAGGATTTCCGCAAAGGTCTATCTCGGCATGTAGACCTCTTTACAAGCAATGACCACTCGTCTTTTGTTGTTCATGTTTCATAATGGCTGCGAACACCGTCACCTTCAACTCTTGTCCACATCTACTCTGGTTGAATTAATGTTGACGTGGGAGCACCAGTTGAGATTTTAGCTTGGTCTTGCATAACACTGGTCGCATTCCAAACAGAAGCACTAGTGACTACAAGGCTACTATACTAAAGCCATCTATGGGCGCCCGCAGCGATTATTTTCAGTGGGGAGGGTTGCGATCATTGGCAAGCGATAACTTTTTATAAAAGTGAAACCTGTTCCCACAACATATTGAAGGGCGGTGGCTAGCAAATATTCTCAGAGGGGGGCAACTCATAAAAATGTGTACACAAGACCGTGCTAGAATCAGTAAGCAGTAGCGCTGTACCCATACGATTGTCGAAGAAGATTGTCATCAAAATTGTCTAGTCAAGTTTTAGTGCATACTTTCGGTGCATGCGACTACCAAAGGGTCAACGTTGTATCATCATAATAATAATACTTACGATGGACAGATCTACCTTCACTAGGTTGGTGCCGCTCTTTGCAAATTATGCAACAAATATCAAGTGCTAGTGTTTACAGATAATTGTGGTGTTAGACGATTCCAGGATATCGTACTTCTTGCATAATTTGGCACAAGAATAGTGAAGGTAGATCTTTCCACCCGTAAGTATTGTCATGTTAATACAACATTGTCACTTTGGTAAACATATAGGCTTGGCTCCTAATTTATTCGAATTCGTTGGTTTCTCCATATCTTATAGCATCTTCATATGCTGTGCGAAAAAATCATCTTGCTGTGTAGTGGTCAGATGCGCCTTATACAGTTGGAACCACTTTATGGTTATCGATTAATTATCATTGTTTCTCTGAGATATTCACCATCTCAGACTGTACTTGTTTGTTGTTATGCAATGGACAAGCTAAATCAATGTGGATTTCAATTTGGAGTAAATGGCAATTTAGGACATTTGATTTTTCTGTATGTTCAAGTGTAGTTTTTTACAATGTTTGCTTTGATGTCATCCATAGTATCGTCAAAGAATTTATCAGAACGATCAAGGGAACAACTGCAACGAAAGAAAATGAGATTATTCCACTGATTATGATGTATGATTGAAACGTTGAATCACTACACTTTGGTGGTATTGGCATGATTCTCATATATGATTTGATTGCAAACATTTTCGACAGGTCTATGTCACCAAATTGTTCTAGGAACGTTGAAATGATTATTTTAGTTGAATTATTATGTATATTCAGTTACCTTTTTGAAAAGTATATACTTAATGATAGTCTGCTACTACAAGGGCACATTCCTAAACAAAATTTAAATACATCCGAATCCGAAAAAAATATATATTCTTTAAACATTCAGTGGCGTACACATTTTTTGTTAATATTATCACGTTGAAGGACAGTAGGCGATACCGGGTTGGTGCTAAAAATGGCACTTGTGTTTTTCAATGAATTACAAATCGGAATGTCATGATTAGTCTAGAAAATATCTTACAATTCCGAAAAAAAATTGACAATGTTGTTCTAAGAGCTTTTTGATTTTGACGTCTATATACGTCCTGTCAATTCTTAGGTGAAATTTTTTCTATATTTCGCCAGGACGCCGATAGACGTCAATAGTTTAAAAAGGGTAATATAGGTATTATAATGAAACAACAACCATAAAAAGGAAATATTTTATTCTATAGTAACCTGTCTTCAACAAAGTCTAAAGAAAATAAAACAAATATTCATTACATATGATAGAAGTATTATCGGTCGTTCACTGGTCGTGCCATTCTTCAAAACAAGCTGGGCAAAGAGGCGGTTTTTCTTTACAGCCTTTACATCTAAAACTGGTTTCCCGTCGTATATTTTTTTTAGTGCACATTCTACACTTCAAAAATACGGATTTTTTCAGAGACTTGACTCCAGGGGTTCCCGGATTTTTTTCCGGCCAATGTCCTTGCATTCCCTGCGCAATATGTTGAACTTGATCTGATTGTTCAAAACGGCGGCTGTCATGTTTTTGTATACGAATGATATTTCGTCCTTCTATATCAACAGGTAGCTTGATTAGAGATTTGATTAGGTTATCTTTAAATTGCACGAAACGGTATTTACGTGAATCGCCTTTGCAAAATTTTCTATACAGAAAAAAAGAATTCCACGTAGTCAAGTCAAACAGATACAACATTGTCTTTTTATACCATCTAATGGTTTTCCTTGTAGTGGTATAGGTTGCTATCATCTGATCGCATCGATCAATACCTGACATGTGTTCGTTATATGTTGCTACTTCTTCGAGCTTATTTTTTTCTTTCCCATACCTATTCCTTACTGTGATCATGCGTGGATGATTTCTGGTGGTTATCACTAGAACATCTCGTTTATCTTTCCATTTGGCCACATACACTTGCTTTTTTCTCATCCAAAAATGTTCACCGCGCTTCAATTTTTTCTTTACTAGAGCCTTTGGATTACCTCGACGATTAGACCTGAGGGTACCATTAGTATGCGTTTTTAGTCTCAATAGTTTTTCGGACAACGAAACACTGTTATAGTAATTATCCATGAATAATTCGTGCCCTTTCAGTAGGTAAGGTTTCATTAGCCGCAGAACTAACTTTTCTGTTAAAGTAAAATGGCCATCGTTTTCTTTTTCTGTTTTGCCGTTATCGTTAGTATGGTCACTGCTGTGTCCACTATACATTTCCATATTCAACACGTATCCATCAGATGTCGTCAACTCATAAAATTTTATTCCGTAGCGGTCTTTCTTGTTCTTGATGTAGACCCTAAATCCGAGCCTGCCTCGAAAATGTAGCAACGATTCATCTAGAGACAATTCTCTGGTGGGTCCATAAGGTTTTTGATACTGATCTATAAGCATGTCTAAAAGCATCTGATTTTTTGCTTTTCCTTTTGATTTTGGCGCTGAACAGCATAAAACCCTAAGTATATGCTCAAACCTTCTTGCGGACATAACGAAAGGGAATATCGGGTGATAATAAAGTATGTCTTTGTAGGAAAAAAATCGTCGAACGTTGGTGGTCGAAACTTGTCCTTGCAGCAAAGGCCAAGAAAGGCTTTCATTTCATCAATGGTTATTGCTCGGTAATTTGCTGACCTGCTGTGCCTAGTTTTTGGCCTATTTGCTTTCGATAGTAACTCTCCGTAATCGTTTGAGCACTGTACTATGTATTCTAATATTTGCGGCGTGAAGAGAAATTCAAAAACTTCAAGGGGTGTAGAAGTTTCATCAATATTCATTTTGACACCTACACTGTTCTCATCAAAGTCAAAAACGGAAATTGGCGCTGATGTGGTTTCCCATGATGATTCGGATTCGTCGCCATCATCACTCTGCCTTTCAGGATCAGATAAATGGATGCTTTCCTCATCGTTATCTTCTTCTGATGATGTATGGTTGAATAATAATTCCTGTTGCTGGTATCGACTTGGACCTGCTTCTTCTGCATCGGTATCTGAAGATTCATTTGGCTCGTAATCTGGATCTGAACTACCATCGCTGTCATGAAATGGGTCGATTTCCTCATCGTCGCTAGAGAGCTCGTCGAATAGTTGTTGCAACCTTCGCTGTTCCCGTTCGTAAGGATCATTGGCACCACTCATCTAAAATAAATAAAACAATATGAAATACTTTTTTATCAGATGTATGAAAACGACAAGAATGTTTTATTTTTGTAGAATTATTAGATACTAACTATAATGACACCACATAACCTTACATAGTTATTACAAAACAATAACGTTGGAAAGGAATGAAGTATTTAGAAAGACTTAGTACAAAACGTATCATAAATAGAGTTACTACTTACATGGCCGTAAAAACTGCACTACACAAATAAATCTCGAAAAATAGAAAACACGTGGTCGGTCCCGCGTAAAAATAGGATGGTATCGGAAGAATCATACGTCCACCTTGGCACCAGAAGAATGACTAACTAGATTTGCATGGATCGCTGGACGTCTATCGGCGATCTGTGTAAATTTGGAGAGAAAGGGTAGTTCCATAAGGAGTGGGGGACACACATCAGTGTAAAGCATTTTTAGCATAACAAAAGCGGCAGTATTCTGATATCGTTAGTGCCAAATGTGGCAGTAGGCTACCATGTTTAACATTCGGTATGGCAAATGGGACACCAATAAACGTCCTGCCTTTTACTGCCAGAATAAGTTCAGACGTCACACGGCGTTCTGGCAGAATTTACCACGCCATGGAGGACGTCAATCGGCGTTACTGTCCTTCAACGTGTTATGCGTTAGGCTGCCCCTCGAGACACCACTGGAATTGATAATTATTTTCTAATTCGTGCTAATTTAGCGTCTTATTGCAATGAAGAACACAATTTAAAAAAATCGTATTAACAAAAAATAACTTTTTAGGACACATTACGATCTTTTGTACTCAAACTTGGTTCAGGATTGCGCCTTTTCAATTAAGGCATATCGTTAAGTAACACCCCTTTAGGCTAAATTTTAGTTGAATTCTAATCTTTTTCTAATTTTGTATTTATATAATGACTTTTAATTTGACAAATGTTATTCAAACGTTTTAAATAACTACACCAAAATGGGTTGGAAGTTCTCTGACGGATGATTACAAAGCTGATACAGTTTAATGCTCCATATTGTACCTGGAATAATAATTCATGAAAATTAAAAATTACATTTCATTGGTAATTTTGAAAAATGCCAAGCAACACCATTTCTTTAATTATGATTCTAGAAAAGTTTCAATTTTATACTTATATTTGGAAAAATAGGCAAAAGCATACTTGCAATCAAATGTGTGCCTCAACTACAAAAATTCTGACACTAATTCCAGAGAGGCCATAATATGTATATTCTTCAGAATAAAAAACAAATTTGATTTCAAATTGTTGAACTAATCAATTGGGTTTTTCTTTATTGTCAATCCAATTTCAGTAAACGTAAGGATGTTATTAATGTACACAGAATTACACAATCTCTTAAAATCAGACGATGACGGTGTTGACACCAATCCATTCCTTCCATGGTGCTCAATTATTAGTAGTGTAGCATCTATTATTTTATGAAACGTTTTTTGACTGAAGAACAAAGGTAAAAACACTGCCAAAGCAGTGGAACTGATATTTGAAAGGCTGGGAAATCGTACAATTGCCTTGCCTGGCACAACTTACATGTGTGTTGTTTTTTATGTTGGTAATTGACGGTTTGCATACTGAAATATACCTACCAATATTTTCAGATTTGATAGGCATGTAGGTTAACATGTAATACCGTTCTGCGTGTTATCCATTTTGAACTTTTTTTTCAAACTTCACTAAGAAGTCTTTGCCTTGAGCCTCCGGCAGTTGTAGACATCAAAATAAAAGATACCAAGAAGGCCCTAAAAGCTTGATCAGCTAAGTGCAAATTTACAGGTTTCACGGATAACTTCTCTTTTCATAGTTAATCAGTTTTCGCGGGTTTGGTTATCCTTCAGTGACTCAATCCATTAAACTGGTCGGTCTTTGGACAAAAGGTTGAGTTTTTCACCAGGGTTTTGTAGAATAGCAGGAATTCTCAATAATGAACATATTACTGTGCCCCTCGTTAAACAATTCATCGCCGCACAAAGGGAGGCTTTTCAACAGTTCTTCACAAACAGCAACAATTTCCAACAGATTTCCTACGTATACTCGTACTATATATATCAAGTATAATATTTTTCACTTAAGTTAATTACCAACATACAAAGTGAGATCAAACATTAGTTATTTTATCATACTAGCGAAACTGATTTTTTTTTCGGTGTTTACTCTCAGATTTAATATCTTATTCTTGTATATAATGTAAAAAGTTTTTATTGTTAAAGTTTACCATTTACACCTTGTTATTTTTTTGCATTTGGATATATTTTTAGTTAAGAAATTGTATATTTAGGACAGGATATGTAGTTTTATAGATAGAAGCTATATAGAAAGACTTAATAAAAATATGCTTAATTTACTTTTGGTGATTTCGCAGTATGAGGTCAGTAGATTCATGTAATTTTTTTCATTGGAGTAATTTGGTTTTCCGTCAAATAAAATTTGTAATTCATAAATATTTTATTGTAATAATTTGTAAAACATACAAATATGGCAAATATGTTCTATTGTAAAAAGCTATCGGGTAAAATAAATTTTCGCTCGAGCGTTGTTTCTACGCTTATACTGCATAATTACCAATATTGATATCGGTTAGCCTTAGGGCTCTCCTCATAGTCCTGTGAAAACTTTTGCTTTTTTATAGGGCGTAATAATTTATTTTCACATTTTATATTTACCATTTTTTAGTCAAAATAATAGACATATAGTTCATGTAAAAATGTATTGTCCCTATTAGTTTACAGCAGTGATTATGAAGAATTAAATATTCAAAATCTGAAGGTAAAAATGTAGGATATTATAAAAAGTGCCAAAAGGGCAACGGCGCAGTGTAAACATTAGTTTAGACGTAATAGAAAGAATTTACTTTTAATGGTTTGTTTTTTATACAAGGATCATTGATGTAAGTTGTTGACTTACCATTCAGTCAAATAAAAAATTGTTGGATATACATGGTGAGTCTTCAGTAAAAAAAGTTTAACATAAAAATTGCAGCCAACAGTATCCTCTCAACATGGAAAATACTTTTATTTCTACAGGGCGATGCTTAACGTGGTGACTCAACAATACATTTTTTCGAACGGAAAGCCATACATTCCTTTGCATATTTGAATAGGCCCTTTCAAACGAAGCAATTTGATATTCGACAATCTATCAAAAACAGACACTCTCACCTCCGCAACTGTTATATATGGGGTATCGAATTTTTCGTTAAAAAACGTTTATGATCCCATGTTTTGTCCTTACCTTGTTTGTTCAGCTTTTTTGTTAATTTAGGGTAGTCAAGAAGCCAAATTGAACTGTTTCTCAAAATTTTGAAATGTATCTTCATAATTTTTTATTACCCTTTTCATAAGCTTGTTTCTGAAATAAGGTTTATGAGGGTATGTATGACTGGTTTTTTAGTTGCTAAAACATAGGGACACCTTCTGTCTCTTCAACTTTATTGCATAAGGCCAGGTAGATTTTATCTAACACGGTCTGCCGTTACCAACTAAATGCTATTTTTTCGCTGGGAAGGTATTGCATATTATTCATTTGCTTAATATCTCATTTAGCCGTAATAAAAAAACCGGGTATACAAAACCCCAAAAGCCTCATATCAAAAAAAAGCTTGTGAAAAGGGCAATCAAGGAATGTGAAAATGCACAGGGTGTTCAAAATATTTCAGAAATGTTTCATTTTGGATCATTGGCCTCCCTGTATAAACTGTTCAAAAATAAGTGGATAGGAACAAAAAAGTGCAAGACAAACAAACGGAAAATTCAGTATTCTAGCTATAACAGTTGCGGAGGTACAAGTTGTCAAAATTGAGTGTTTTGTTCGATCGGTTGTCCAATATCTCAACAATCTGAAAATGTATATTTGTTATATAATATCTCTGTTTGAAAAGGCTTATCCAAATCTGCAATAAAATGTAATCTTTGAAAAATGCATGTTTGTGTACCCGAATACTTATGAATCAACCCTGTAGAGATAAAAATGTGTTCCAGGTAAGGAGCATACATGTTAGCTACAATTTTTGTAATTAACTTTTATACTGGGCGCAATAACAGAACTATCGACCGAGGCCACACAAGTAACTCACCCTGTATGTGATTTGATTGAACATTACCGCATCTGATTAATAATAGTCACATACTTGGTAGAAACATTTGCAGAAGTTATAATTTTTCTATTTTGTTTTTTGTACTCTATAGCATTTTAGACAATAAAGAGATATGTTATTTATAACTGATGAGTGTCTCTTAATTGTACAAATGTGACGATAGCTCAACTCAAAAATATACCGGATGGGGACGTCGGCTGTATCTTGGCAACTAGTCAGTCTAGAGCTCTCGGTTAAAAACTACAACAGACAAAAACGAGTTATAGGTCATTTCAGGAAAAGTAGGGACATCTGATTGTGCTTTATCGACTTTCACAGTCTTGGTCTCATTTAAAAGGGCTTTAAAGTGCGCTCACAATGGAGCTTAAACCTAACGTGTCAGTCCGTTTTACTTTTCACGTCTCTGAGCGAGAAGTATTGTAATCACGAAAAATTGAGATATTGTGTTTTTGGGTGTTATATGAAAATCACGAAAAATTATGTCGCTCATTTCCGTCTGTCCGTCTGTCGTTCTCTCTGTCCGCTAATCCTTGATGGCCGATCTATACCTTGAGTAGTACGGCTTGGATTTTTATGGAATTTTCACACTTGCTACTATGCCAAGGACGAAAAACCTTCGTAGTTTTTGATAATCGATCCAGTGGAAAGGAAAAAATAAAAATATCGTTTTTTGACGTTTTAGAGTCCTGATCATTTTCAGGGAAATTTGTGCAGGGGTTGAAATGTGGAGGTTGTAGACGGTGGGGGAGGTTGTACGAACATTTTTTTTTATAGTATATTTATATGTTCCAAGCCTCAGTTCTATGCACACATTAGCCATAATTCATACATCATTGCTTTTCCCATTTGCCTTTAAAACCTGAATGATAAAGTAATGTTTTCGATCCGCGTACGCCTATCTAGGCTCACCGCCCAGCGAACCGGTGCGGGTGACAAAAAAACATGCTCGAAATGAAACTCGCTGCAGCGACGGTTCGCTGGCGTGGAAAGGGACAACGTTGCCACATGGAAGGTAACTACAAATAGAGCAGAGAGATATACTGGCTATGGGCCTGTTTGACTAACTTAATCCGTTTAATCGCCGTTGTACGTTCGTTTCTGAGAGGTTTCAAATTACGCTAAACTTAATCCTTTATTAGCTGTTAACGACATTGAATAAGAGGTGCATGGTCAACCAACTTTAAGTCTTTTTTCATCAAAGACAACATCACTGTTATTTTTCAAAAATTTCAATGATATCATTTTTCATTATTAGGAAAGTGGATGAAAAACTCTACAGATTAGTGAAAACCATAGGCCGCAATCTTTGACTGGTTGCCAAGATACAGCTTGCGTTCTTTATTAATGGCTCACTCGGTACTTATATAAAAGTTAGATAGCAACAGCTCAGAACAAAGACGTCCACATTGCTTTCAGTTTTGTTCTTTTTTAACTTGTTACTTGTATATTGGAATTTAGGAGATACAAATATTCTACTATTTTGCTCAAATTTTATGTCGATTTATTTTCTTTGATGCGCAAGAATGATCCTTGTAACATCCTATAGCTTATATCAAAATAGAGTTAGATAGAGGCCTAAAATTTAGTGCAAATTTACAACCGGTTTGTCGACGGCAATACAATATTCACATATTCTACATTTTTGGTCAACGACATTCTCATTTAAGGCTTTTATAGCCACTCGTTACTTCAGGATTGCTTGCCTTCGTAAAAACATGTCGCAACTCGAGTGATCGCAAACAATGTCAATGCTCTGCTACGTTTATACCTATGCCTCAAAATGGTTCAGCGTGAATATGTAAACTGTTTTGAGGTGTACGTGTGATCAATCTACTAACTATTTGTTCAGATGAAATTGTCATTACTACGTTAACACATAGTACGTTCGATAAGTCCTCAGACTTGCATCGTGATCTCCGGTGGTTAGAATTGTGTTGAAAGGTCTAAACTAACAACAGAACCCGGCTGTAGTGACACTTTGGAGCTGCCAGGTAATAAGGATTGGAGTTCCACGTTAATATTGTTCGCCTGGAAAAATTTCCTGACGCAAGTTTGCCCTGTTCACTCGTTGGAAACGGTGGGTGTAAAAAATCATTGCGGTGGTATCTTTGACTTTCATGATTATGATATTTTCAATACTACATATGGGTTATATTGGTAGCTTACATCCACCAACACAATTTTAACTACCGGGCACTGCGTTGTAAGCGATTGAGGTGCCCCACGGCGGCTAGTCCCATTACTTACTAAATGCACCCTGTACACCTTGTCAAATGGCAAGACAGGAAAGCGAATAACTTCATATTTCCATGCATGTAGAATATAAGAATATGCCAGACATTCTTGTTGTCCTAGTGGGAGTTTATTAGCTAGTGAAAATGGCACTAAATCTGCTGCAATGCACCCCTCCAGTTTACGTCCAATAAATATGCCATCATTTTGTATGTGGCGAACTATTAGCATTAGAGACCCATTCACAATCAATGCACGCTTCAAGCACATCACAAATCAAAATCGTTTGCCTAGATGACGTGTAGTTCTTTGATGGAATAAGACTACTTAAAAGCTAATAAGTCCCATCTTAATATGATCATCCCTACAAAAAATGTTACGTATTCATACGAAAATCAGTTTTGCGTGGCAATTTAGGTATGTTAAGAAGCATTTTCGGTATGTGTCAGGGCGCAAATATTCCGCAGCATTAACAGCATCAGTAATGTAGTTTTTGGAAATACGTCATCTATGGCAAAGTTTTATGTGGTGAAAATCATCTAAATGCACATAGTTATTCCGTTATGATACCTGGTGTTTTTGCTCTTGTGATAAAAACATTTGTTCAAAAATCTCGTTTATAGAGAAGGCAAGATGTCGGTTGCAATACTTTCACACCATTGTCACATTTAAGTACAAAACCTATTTTCATTTTTCCAATACAGCACCCCCAATTTTCCAGTAGCAACAAGAACTATTGATATTAACCGAAAGTTAACTCTCGGAAAGCGTTTTTTATGTTTTTTTTGTCCTAAACGATAGTTCACTTTGACCATTAGATCAACAAGATCTTTGTAGTTAAACACACAAAAGAAATAAGACAAGTGCCGACCGTCACAAAAATGTAGACATAATACTCGGTATGTAAAAGAAGCGATTCCACATCAACAACCGAACTGGAAAAACAAATTTACGGATTAGTAAACCTGAAATCCAGTTGCAACTGAAAAACTGGGCCGATGTCCAAAATTTGATGAACAAAGAAATGTTGATTCAAAAAATTCCTCTAAAATAATTCCTGCAAGACATATTGCATCACGGCATCTACCAAAATGTGTTCTGGAAAATTTGTGACCCAAAAATACTTCAAAAGATCAATTCACATTAGTGAATCGTGTGCCTTGGGCATTTAAAGTTGCAAGCTTAGTTGTGAAACTTCTTCAGCAAGAGGTTGCTCAGTGATACTAAGTTGTATGAAAAACCATGAAGTGTGTCTTTTAATGTACAACTCTCAAAAGCATTGTGAATCAAAAATCTTATTCTTTAGTATTACTGGCATTCGTAATAATTCAAGTAGTTCGCATAGCACTATTGAGGTTGTTGTATCGAACTGAAAAGTGATTACTAGCTATGCTTCTTTTCATATACCACTAGGGAAGAGGCATTAGCTTGACCAGTTGAAGCTATTTTGCCTCTAATAAGACTTGGAACACTAGAAAGATGCAACAGGGTTACGGTTAGTTTTCCGCAACCTGAAGGAAATAGTTTACGAATAAACTACCATGTTCGATATGAACAACCTGGACGTTAAAAAAAGCGGTTTCTTAGAGCTAACTCATAATTCTTGTATCTGTGAACATGTGAAAATGTTTTGCAGCTTTGGTTCAATACCAACATCACATGAGCATAGGTGTGTCTGCGCTTCAAAAGATAAAAATTTCAGACATTTTGACAAAAAAAATTAATGATCCACACATAAAAATTTTTCAGTGTTGATAACGAGCTACACGAACTGTTTGAAATTGTTTAATTTAGGTTGCAATGTGATTGAATTATGTTATTGGAGCGATTGATAGTTTTCTTGTGTTTTGAAAAGATATTTAAAGAAATAATACAGGGTAGTGAACACGGAATTTAACCTCTTCTGTTCATACATCAATTGCAAAAATTAGTCTTTTAACACATTGTATCTAAAATATATTTTACAATTATTATTGAAAAAATTGTGTACGTAATAATTATTGTACCATGTTGCATTGTACATAGTAATGAATAGTTGTTTATAAGTATATCGAGAATATTAATAATAAATGTCTTTGTATGAATACTGTTTTATTACAAATCCATTGTATTAACCATCCCGTGGATGTCGACAGTGACATATCTATATATGCACATTTCCTACTGCAAGTAGCTCTTTTCTGTAGTAGCTATACAACAAATTTTATGAATATAGTCTGGTAAAATTAGTTTATCAAGTTTATTTAGCAAACAGCTCGAAGGAAAGTAGCAGCTGCTGACGGAAATAATCCAGTGGGATTGAGTTTGTTCGGCAAACAGCACGACTTGCGAGTAGTTGATGCAATCGAGCAGATTGACGGGATTGCTCCAGAGAAATTAGCTTCGCAAGTTTATTGTACAAACAGCTCGCACGTTTATAGTCTAGCCTAACAGATTAACGGAACTATTTTCGTGAAAACAACGTTGCAATTTGGTAAGAGGCGAACGGGACTACTCGATATCATCCTACGAATACACGGAATGCAAGGGACTCTATTTAAATTTTGAGTCTAGTAATATAATTTTGAATGACAACTTAGTTTTTTCTATTACTGTCTTTCAAAATATGCTCCATTAATATCTATACACTTTTTCATGCGATGGCATCATTTTTCATAATACATATTCCACTCCGCTTCAGATATCTCCAAAACATGATTTATGAACGCATCACCTTCTGCCGACGAAAATCCACTGGATGCCAAATCAAGACTGTATGGGGGATGAAAAAATCAATGTTTTGAGTCCTCATATAGTCCATTGTTTCCATAGAGGGCATAAGAGCTCGCATTGTCTTGATGCAAAATGATCAGACGTCGCTTGTTGGTTTTCCTTATTTCACCAAAGAGTTTCTGCAAACAAATGGTTTGTTTTCAATTCAGAATTAACAATTCTGCATTCCTCTAAAGGTACTGTTGTCAGTTGACCAGTTTTTCCGAAGTGGTTCGTACACGACGAACTTTTGTCGGATTTGGCTGGTCATCACCTGTTGAATTAATTTTATACACGTCTTTTCAAGCACCGCCGTTGTATTTTTCGATCATCTACACCAATCGACACGAGTCGCTTTTTGCGCTTTTATCAAATTACGTGGGATCGAACGAGAACAAAGCCTAAGGCTGCCTCAATCTCACAATATGTCACAATGACGATCTTGCATTATTAGTTTTTGCACAGCATCAACATTTTTGACACAACTGATTTTGGACGACCTTCACGACTTTCGTCAGCAAGAGAATGGGGCCACGATTAAATTCGCCGTACCAGCGTTTCCCATTGACAATGATTGTCAAGTTAATTTCACTACGTTAATTCATCTGACGGCATCGACTTCTCACGTTCTATTTACCGAACAGTCTTATAAAGTAGATTTTGCCGAACAAACTTGCACTTAACTATTCCGTTAATTTTATTGGTTCACATAAATTGCACTAGATCATATCGGAATATTATAATTTTTACGATTGCACAGAATAGCTGCGGCTGCTGGCTGGGTACGTGGCAACACCGGTTGCTGCTGAGCACTATACCCTATTGGTAGTCCATTTACGCCCAGACAAAACACAACATACCCAACAGTGAGATTGTACAGGTTCGTATTTTCCTCAATGGTCTTGGAATAATCTAATAATATGAATGATTATTTTTATAGGAAGAAGTGCACATACCTTTCACAATTCTTATTCGCTGGAAGTACTTGAATCATCATCCGAATGGTTAATATTAATTATTACAGGTTCAATTTGGATATCGATCATATTGTCCAGATCCCACATCTTTGTTTCGATTCTCTTGAACATGGCGGATGCAATATTTCCAATGGTTTGCTGTACCTCTGTTGATAGCGTAATAAAACAAATTTTTCACGTCAGATAATTTTAATATTTCATTGTTTGAAGCCACATAGTCTTTTATATTTGCCCAAATCATTTCAGTGGGATTTAATTCGCAGTTATAAGGGGGTAGCCTTGAAAGGGTCTTATTTTGGTTTTTAGCCATTTCATCAATAACATTAAGATTATATTTATATTTGTGCTGCCTGACTAGATGGATAACTTCTGCTATTTTCATTGATAAGAGCCATTGTTGAATTTCTGCCTTTCTTGTGGACATTGCGGGGATTTTTTTTTGCTTTTCTAGTGCGGTATGCAGCATTATCAAGTAGAATGACGGCGTTGTCGTCAAGCTTTGGTAGCGTTTCTTCAAACCGTCGTTCAAATGAACTCCCGTCCATTTCTTCATGGTAGTCGATCGTTTTCTTTGACTCATATGTCATAGGGCAGTGGCACAATGCCATCTTCACTGTCAATGTGACAGATAACAAATCGCTTTCCTTTTCGTGGAAATAATTATATAGTATTAAGTAAACTAATAATAATACAAGCGGATATAGCTAAGTTTAGTGTAGCTAAGTTTTCAGCGTAGGCTCATAGATTCAGTCTACTTGACACCATTTTTACAACACAAATGACGAACTGGTTAGATACAGGTATCTGATGGATTCTTTAGGCCAGTGGTTAGTCCATCTAAGAAGGCTTGTCTTGCTGATTTAATTGTCGAGTCAGACCATACTTTAGGTTTTGTATGTCCTGCATTTATCCAGGTTTCATCAAGTAATAAACCTTCCTGCCCTGGTCGCGGTATTTCTTTATTGATTTTAAATAATTTCTTCTCCATAAAATAATCTCGTGGCTGTCCATCAAAATACTATTTCTGTACCGTTTTCTATACTCAAAATGAAGTTCTTTGAGTAAACTATAGAATGGTCCTTTTGAAAGTAGGCTAGTCTTCATCACTATTAACTTCCTGTAATACTTTGTCTATGGTGGGAAGTTCCTGCCTTTCAAAAAATGTATGGACTTTGCGTCTGATGGCAGTCCGATCAAAGTTATCAACTGTATCCAACAGCTTCGTGTAATGCAGCCTCTTGTGTAGTGGAGACGGTTTTTTGTTTTATATTCTTTAACAATGTTGAAAATTGTCTTAGGACATAAGCCTGTTTTGTTGGCCACAGGTCTTTCAATATCATGAATTTTCATTTCAGGATGCTCTAAAATTTCACTCTTATAAACGTTAGGGACAATTTATTTTGCCTGAATATTCAAATATCCCTTCTTGTCACGTTTTCGGGGAGGAGACATTACTAAAAAGAAAGCATGGCTGAAGGAAGAATTGGGATAAATATTCTCAATTTCATCTGCTGTATCCGCAGACGCCATGCTAACGTATAATCACACGCTATGTATGCACCGAATATGAACGGCAACTGCCGGCGATACCCCGAGCCTGAGTTCTATCTTGTCGAATCCTAGTTTTATGGCCGCGCTGGATCTTTGTTGTACCGGGGCGTAAATGGACTACGAATAGGGTATAAAACCTCCTTCATGCGATTTTCTCCGCCGAAATGGCGGCCGTTTTTGACAGTGAGAGGAGAGTTTCAAAGCTGATTAGTTTGTGGTAGTGTAAACAAGGTTTTGTTTTCATGGACAACTAATTAGTCCAAGTACCAACTTTCAAATGCTGAATTTCATCTATTTCCATTACTTCAATTTTTAACTTTTTGCCAGCTTTTTGGGTGTTCTAGACCAATGTCCGGCGGTAGGTTCGGAGAACAAGAACCGCTCCGTGTGGTGATCGCAATGGTATAGCATATTCAAATTTAAGTCAATTTGGCCGGGTGGCGCTATACCCTTCGTGTATGTCACTTAATAAAAATAATATCTTGTACTACTTTATTCAAAATTTCACACGAACACTACTTTTGTTACGAGCTAGTAAAAACATTACTTGTTGTCCTAGAAGAAATGGTCTGCTGTGAGATATGACTTTTCACAGAAAAATACACGTTTCATAAATCCAATGTATGTATTTATATTTATCGTACATTAAAACACACCAATACTAATGTAGATTATAGGTACAGTCACTGGCATAAATTTATCAATATATAAAAAATACGCCTGAAAATGCTGAGAATCGCCGTTACGCCACCGAAATAACAGGACAGAAAATACTGGTAAACTGTCAATGTGTGTGAATATGTTCTTGTTTAACTGGAATACGCTTCAAATGATATTTTTAACTCTTGAAACGCCAATTGCGGATAACTTCAAGTTCATCCTTGTCAGTCAACCCTACCATGACCTTTAAGGACATTTTAAAATCGGATAAATGTCCAAGTAAACTACTTACTTTTTTATAACATCGAATTTTTGTGTCCCATGCTTTGAAACACATTATATTGAGAAACCTGAAACGAACGTCTTCCGAATATCGTAGCATTTGACGCAAATTCAAATCCGTAAATGGTTGACTCTTATAGTGCACTCAAGTCAAACCATTTCGTTTAAAATGAACATGGAAGCATTAAAATGACGAAACTTATGGTGAATTCATGCAGTCTCATCTTAAACATAAGTTGGTTAATGCTTATGTTGTCCAATAAGAAATGCAAACATGCCGATGCTTTTGCAATGAAATTATCTTTTGTAAGAGCTGTTATTGCAGATCAATCTGCAACAAATTTTTTCCAGTATCAAAATTAAAGACCGTCTGTCACGATACGAAATTTGGTGCTGAATTCAGTACGCTAAATTTCGTACAATATTAAGGATAGTATCAGACAGAATTTCGTATGAACGAATTGAGTGCTAAATTTTCAGAACCTGTTCTAAAAAATATCATGCTAAAAGTGCGCAGACGCCTACTGCCCATTTGGATAATGACAAGGAATTTTTGCATTAACTCCTTGATATTTCCTTGATGTTTTGTGATAATTAGATGAGAGGATAATTGATTGACAAAAACACGCCCAACGTCAAACACTTTCATCAGTTGTTGTTGACAAAGATGTCATGGTCAATAGAGCAGTGTAACATACTACTAAATGAGTACGAGAAATATGATTGTTTATATGCTGTAAAAAGCAGAGCCTATAAAAATAGAAACGCCAGACAAGCTGCGTTGGATAAACTCCGAAAGACTGGAACCAATCGAGAATATAAACCCGTCGATTATTCACTGAAAGTTCTTTATTCAGCATATGGAGTACATCCATGCCCGGCAGAGTTATTATGTGAAAAACCTACATCGAAAAAAAAAGATAAAATGTCAACTTGTTGAAAGTGGCTAGTGTGCAAAGAGTTCATTCCGCACTTGACACAAGTGAGCTTGAAGTGAACGACTGCTAGTTCTAAGTTGACGTCTTGTAGGAAATTATACATGTCATAAAAAACCTTCATGTCATTTTTCAAGTTACATAATACCCCTGCCGGCCCCTTCTCCCTTCTTAGAGGTGTTACAGAATAGCTTTTACGCGTACCTGAAATTACTAATTCCAGTTCCAACTAGATACACCTATTCCAACAACCTATTACAGTTCCAGCTTATTCCGAATGCAGATTGGGAACCTCTAATGCTCGTTACGTATAGGCTACTGACATTACTGCAAACGTTTGCGCATCATTCATTTGGCGACCCAGTATCTGGTCAGCCAAGTCCGAAAACAAGTTGTTCTTGTTCTTATTGGTATCTGAAGATTTGTTATAGTTCTGTGTGGATTTTTTTTTCATTATATGAAATAAGCAACCGCTAAATAAAATTGATCCAAGGGGGGATAAACCCAACTTTTTGTTTGCTTTATACATGTAAGTTCCAACATTACAAGGGTATATAGCACCTCGTTTATGTTGCATGTTAGAGATCATATTACTGTTATTATAACACAATTTTAATAAAAATGGATGAACTTTGGACGGAAAAGTAGATTTCTCACCGGCGACGGGGGACCGGACCAACAAGCATGGTTGCCAAGTCAAAAAGAGAAAAAATGCAAGAGATAATCAAAACAGGGAAAGTTTTTCTATATTCCGCTATAAAAATCTTAGGATCAAGATCATCGTATTATCGGCAACGCTGCAAAACCTAGTTGATTCGAGAGAATAGGCGGAATAGGTATAACTGATAATTGGGAATAGCCGTATGGAATAGGCAAGTGATACCTATTTCAACCCACCAGGTCCAGTTGCATTGTAACACCCCTCCCCCTGATCCATTTTCGACACCAAATTCCTTCAAGGTTTCGTTTACTTCGTTATATGCGAATTACTGGATTGCTCCATTTTCTATTCGTCTGAAGTAATAAAGGAATAAATTAGCAAGCTGCAACGAAAAGTGTGGCTAGAATGACTATGACTTAACAAAACTCAGTTTTCGTATGAAATTGGGTACAAAAATTCCTTTACGTGACAGGATTGTAATTGGTAAAAAATTGGAAACTAATTCAGTAACGCAAGTTCTCATAAAATTTGACATATTATGAACAAAGTTTTGTGATACATGGCATTTTTATATTTAAATTTTCTGCTTTCAAATTTGAGCGGACCTTCAACATTTTACATTGTTCAATTTTAAGGTGGGTCAACAAACGTCTCATCGAACATTGTAATAACCGACGGTTACGTTTAAATTGAACTGAGGTATTTTCTGATATCTTCCGAATCCCGTTTGAGCCAGGCAGCATTCAAAAGTATGGTTTCGACGGACTGTTGCACTATTCTCTCACATCCAGGTGCCTTGTGATGAGTAAAGAACTCCTCGACGTCTTTAGCCATTGCTTCCGATGCGAAATTCTCCGTGAGGTACTTTATTAGCCTGTTGAGCAGATAACCACTGAATCTTTCTGATATTTCATCCCAGTGGTCTTTGAAGAACTGCCATGCCATTTCGCTGCCTTTGGTCGATATCGCCACTGCAGCAATGACGAACACTGTATCTTGTGATCTTACTTCGTCCTGGAATAAAAATATTATTCATAAACACATCACTCAAATTCTTAATTCATTCTGCCTATTGAATTAGGAAAAGGCAAGAAGCGAAAAGGATAAACCAGGAACAAAAACTAAATTAATAAGGAATAAATACATATATAAAGATCGACACATACATATAACTTAAAATAGGAACTAAATGAATGTTTTGATAACAAATAATTAAAAAAATGAAATTAGTGTAGGAGTGCACGTACATACTAAAAAAAATAACGTCCAAAAGTAGGAACTTGAAAAATAATAAGGTAAAATCAAATTAAACACACACAACACATCACAATGGATTAAAAACTTGAGGAGCGATTGATAAAATTTTACAATATTACATGGTGCTGCTTAATACATATATATATATATGTATATATATTTATATATATATATAAATAGCGGCAACCAAAAACAGACTAAAATCATGAGAATTCGCGGAGCGAAATGTCAAATGTACATATCAATAAATAAAAAAGGAATATAAGTTATCATCGAGATACTCAGACACGGAGTAATATGCTTTCTTTATCAAGAGTGCCTTTTTAAGATTGTATGTGTTGGCCCGTTTGATCCTGTTTGACAACTTAATAGTTTTATGCCCATGTACATAGCACCACTACATTCCGTTGTGGACAACAATCTCCAGTATCAGGGAATTCCTTGTGGAATATTTTCCATGACGATTGAGCTTAAGAAAGCTGTTGTAATTTACTTTAACATACACCAATACCTCACGCCCGGGTGAGAACCTTTAGATTCTCAAGTAATTCCCTACAGTTAGCTCTGTAATGTAACCCAGCGATCAGTCTTAACACCTTATCGTGTAAGACAAACATCCGAGAAGTACCCCAGACAATTATACCACATGAGATTATTAATTGAAAATACGCAAAATAATATGCTATATAATTACAATGTTCTTCTCAAACACGAGTCTATTGATGCAATATGCGATAGGGGTCAGTTTTTTACAAACGAGACTATAATCCTGATCAGAGGTATATAGAAAGGATAAAAAACGTGACATTTTGATTGAGTACCAAGCCATTATTGAGGGACCACTGATTGACTCCAGTGAAGCTGATCTAGCTAAATTTAATGTATTATCTGCATTTCCCAGAATTGACGTATCATCAGCATACATTTATTTATTTATTTATATTTCATATTTCCTACAGGTAAAACCAAATTACAGGAAAAGCTCAAATACATTACCAAAAAGAAAATATAGAAACACATTGAAAACAAACTTAGCATCAATTGGCCTAAGTAAGCTCAGAGAACAATCGATGACTTATAGCAATTTATGATCGATTTACAGCTCTTGTTATAAATATCACACAGATCACAAATAGAGTTCATCAGACCGAAACACATGCTACAGAAGACATCACTGATGGTGAATTACAAATTACTAATTATAAAACCTACGGATGCAACTCCAACTCCAGACATACTGGAGGTGTAGTGATTTATGTTTACCACAAAATACAGATCACATTATTCGATTGTACCACTTTAGACTATGCATACTGGTATGCACATATACAGTTCAAATTATTTGGGAAACGTTATGATCTTTGTACTTTTTACCGTTCACCAAACAGTGAGCAACAAGATCGAAAGCTTTGCTTAAATCAATAAACATGCCTACAGTTCTTCTACACTCATGCTAAGAAATGTAGTGATAGATAGTGATAAAGAAGGTGTTTTTCACAAAGTATTCCACTGAACAGACTGCTAGGTATTTTTCAACTATATTCGCAAACTGACTCACCAGTGAGTGAGTGTTAATATCACATGGATTGCCAGATTTGAAGATTAGTATTGTTTTCGAGATCTTTAAGCAGTCAGGAAATTGGCCCATTTCAATACAGGAGTTTAACAGATATGTAATTGGTTTAAAACCACAAGGTATGCTACCGTCATTTTAAAAATAGTCGGTGAAATTGTCGCTTATAATGCGCGGCTATAATATCCACTTACCGACATGGCAAACATCAATGCCTTTTCCAAAAGATAAGGATCTTTGGCAGCTCCCAGTGCCCTGCTGATCCTTTCCTTTTCTTCATTCAAATCTGTTACTCTGTATAAAAACAAAAGTGTTTCAAAGTCGGTACTGCCTCCAGCCCTAAGTGCTGTCTTGTAACAGGCACTGCGTATATCGGCGGGAAGCACTTCTTCACACGTCACATGATTGCGAAACCTATGTATAAAATAACAAATTTTTAATGGCAATGACCTTGTCATAAAACAATGACGCTTCCTTGAGAAACGTTCCAGGGAGGATTTAGACAGTTGCATCGAACTGCTCTGCTGGTTGCAGATTGTGGATTATGTCTGTTAGAATGAGTGACAATGAAAAAAAAAAGAAGTTTTGTGAGAAGATACTTTTGATGGTGATATTATCATTGAAAATAAAAACAGAAAGGAGCTGCAGAGCAGTTTGGGACAACTAGTTGCCAATATTCAGTCTTTTACTTCTCTGTGATTGTCCTGTAATTCGAGGAAGCAAATGCATTGCTATTTTGCATTTTTTACTGATATTTGACACAAATAAACCAAATATTTGCAAGTTTATCATAAAAATGCTAAATAGATACGATCATCAAAGAAAAATCTTTTTGACATTGATGACAGCTGTTTCAGCCTACTGCAAAATGAAAATTTAAATCCACACTGACGCTTCCTTGACGAACGTTCACCTCAAGGAAGCGTCATTGTTTCACTATTTCCAAGGAGTGATCCGTTGTTTCCAAGGAAGCCTCAAGCTTCAAGAAAGTCTATAAACCTGACTCTTAATCTTGTACGAGAGATGTCTTTTAAGTTTTGCATATAGAAACATAGTAGGCCGCGCAGATCGAACGTCAGTACTGAATCTTAACCTCACTCTTTAGTAAACTTAAATTCAAAGTTTCACAACAATACGTGCAGTGTTCTCACTACAGTGAATTTTTAAGTGTCACCAAGTCATTAGAAAAATGGAACTCGACCGAGAGCATTTTCACGCCATAATTTATTACAACTTTCAGAGACAATTATCGCAACAAGAATGCCTTGCTGAGTTACTGTCTGTTTTCGTCAACGAAGCGCCACATCAGTCGACAATTTCCCGTTGGTATGAAGAATTGAAACGTGGACGGGTGAGTCTTAGCGACGATCCCAGGGTGAGTGCACCAAAAACGGCAGTCACCCAGGAAAACGTCAATGCTGTGCGCAAACTCATCATTGAAGATAGACATGTGACATATCGCGATGCTGTGCGCAAACTCATCATTGAAGATAGACATGTGACATATCGCGAGATTAAGGCATCCTTGAAGATCTCAAAGACCTCAATTCAGAAAATTTTACATGAAGAATTAGGAGTAAGAAAATTAGTTTCTCGTTGGATATTCCACCTGTTGACTGAAGAGCAGAAAGCAGCCAGGGTTAATTGGTGTCAAAAAACGCTTGACCGTTTCAATTCCGGAAACTCAAGAAATGTGTACAGCATTGTTAGTGGTGATGAATCGTGGATTTACTGTTATGAAACAGAAAATGAACGACAGTCGACTGTTTGGGTGTTCCAAGGTGAAGAAAAGCCAACAAAATTCATCCGTTCTCAAAGTGTTTCGAAGAAGATGGTCCCGACATTTGTGTCAAAAGCGGGTCATATTGCAACAATTCATCTTAATGAGCACAGAACTGTTACTGCGGATTGATATACCACCATTTGTTTGCCAAAAGTCATCACCGAGCTTCGAAAAATCAACCTCGAAAGAAGAATCATCCTCCACCAAGACAATGCAAGCTCGCACACAGCCCAAAAAACAAGGCAGTATTTAACGGAAGAAAACGTGGAATGATTGGACCATCCTCCATATAGTCCCGATCTAAGTCCTATCGATTTATTTACTTCCCCAAAAATTAAAAACAGACGTGCGTGGTCAAAGGTTCCAGTCATCAGAAGAAGCAGTGGACGCATTCAAAAATGCCGTTTTGGATCTGCCAGCAAACGAGTGGAATAAGTGCTTCGAAAATTGGTTCGAGCGCATGCAAATGTGTATTAATCTTCGTGGAGAATACTTCGAAAAACCATAAAGTCATTTAAAACAACCTACAGTGTTGATTTATTTCCATATGCAAAACTTAAAAGACATCCCTCGTATCTGGGACAAAACTAAAATTCGACGACCTGGATGGGCGGGTCATATCTCAGATCGGGTTCAATTTTTTCTGGAGGCATGAAGCTTTGTGAAATTTCAGGGTCCTAAGTCGAACGGTTAGGTCTGGGGACGCGCCCACAGTATGAAGATTCGGCAAAAATGTGAATTTTATCGTTTTGCCAACTTTTCCATTTTCTCGCTACGCCTGTCATTGGAAAGCATTAGGCTCCATAATCCAAAGTAAATTTGTCCAAGGAAGTCAGAAATGACCGGATCCAAACTCCGATATGTGAATTTGTTCAGCAGAGACTTCAGTCAAAGTTGATGTTATCCAAAATGTTCATTGGTTGATTTGTCTGACAAGCGAATGCCTTCCGAAACGAAAAATGCAATTTTTTTTTTTGTAAAGCCCCCAGTACAAAATTCCAGTTATATAGAAGGTTAGTTTAGTCCATCTCGTTTACAAAAAAATATTAATTTTGTGCATTTTTTGTCCGAAAAGCATTCGAGTTGTCAGCCTTAATAACCCAGTAAAAAAACTACAAAAAAAACTACTTTTGACTGAATTGTCTGCCCAACGAATTATCAAATCGGAAATTGAAGGACATTTTTGACTTCCTTGTGCTATTTTAGTCCGCAATAGTGATATATTATGGAGCCTGATGCTTGAGATATGACCCGCTTAGAGGGATCGATTTCCTGAATAATGAAAACTGCGCATAGACTACTACTCATGATGCAAATACAAGTGCAGAATACACAATATAAAGATCCATGTCTGTAAATTTTAAGATTCTCATAATTTATAAACACATTATGTAATTTTGTGCTTGCCTTTGTTTTGCTTCTTTCATTATTTTTTCATCGTCGATCCATGCAAGACGTCCTAGTACCAGACCGCGCAGCATAGTGTTTAGGTGAGTCTCGCCATTCCTTACCTTCCAGCCCAACCGAATGTATATTTTTTCCAGCAATACTTTCTGATACTAAAAAATTAAATGACGGTATGAGAAAATTGTTTGTATGAATGTGTTCCAGGCGGATTACGACTAAAAAGTCCCGTGGGTGGATATTTTCCGAAGTAGCTCTGATTTATATTAGTGAAGTGTATGTAGTTCGCGAACGAACTACTTCAAACAAACGATTCTTACAACTGAACTAAGTGAACTAGTTCATCATTCCTCGAAAAACTCGTTTACTCGTTCACCAAGAACAATTGGTTCACAGGATCTCAATGATCCACGCGAACTAGATGTAGGCGAACACCACCATAGGCAACCATTCCATCTTCAATCTTCGTAAGTCAAAAAGCAGTAACATGTGATTTACTACTATTATACTAGGTGTATGGAAAAACAAGTAAACTGACTTTTATCGCTGCTGTGATAATCTATTTATATTATTATTTCAAAGGAAAAACACAGTAATGCAGAATTTACTTGTATCTTGTAAAAATACTGTTTTTACTTCGATAAATTGATTTACTGCTAATATGCTCAGCAAACGCAACTGAGGATCCTTTCTAGTCGCAAGGAGTATCAGAGATGCATACTTCCCCTTGCCCGGTCTAGGTCCAGGTAGGCAGGCACTTCACTCTACGTCACGATGTGCAGAAGGCGTTATCAAAGACATGCCTTCGACACAGCAAGTGTGCTCTCTCAAATACTAAATTTCGTACCCACAATATTTATTTTTCGTTCAGCCCAGAACAGCGTCACAGAGTCACGAGGAATAGCGATTAATATTTATTCGATACAGATTTATGAAGAGCACAATATTTCAAAATGAATTTCTCTTCTGTTAATTTGTTTGTTGAAGATTTATTTAGCATTAATGCTACATGTCAATTTTGTATAATTATTATCTACATTGAAATTTGACAGATTATATCTTTTTGACTTTGATGTATTTATCCACTGTGATGTTAACAAAACCCTTCTAAAACACAAATCTATAGTTTATTCACTGAATCAAAGCAGTTACATCACAACGTCAAATGATGACAGTTACGCACGTGGTTGCCACATTAATTAAAACTACTAGATCCTAGGACGTCTTACAAAATCTACTTTATGTCTTCAATGCTTTACCGTATAAATTCTATTTACTACCTAATAACTCTCTTACTGTAAAGGCAACAATGGAGCTCCATGATCTCGTTCGGTCTCAAAATATTTCGTCAAAAAATGACGTGCTTGTCGACCCAGGGGTTTCTTCATTTTAGCAAAATGCTTAAAAGGATACCTCCAAGTTTTGAAAATAAACGTTTCATATAAAATAACAATGCAAATATTGGGGCAAAAAGAACGAAAATAAACCACAAATAAACAACAGCCGTTGGCGTAATTATCTGACAACACAGAAGACTGTTACCAACATAAATGTACCCGGGTAATTCAAACTATACGTACCAATTTAGGATCTATTTTGCATTTAGGTTGACATTCAAATTTACTAAATATGATGTAACTGCTTTGTTTCAGGGAATAAACTATATGTCTCAATAATTTGAGAATTATAGAAGAATGGAGTGAGAAGCACTAAGTCCGTCTACTTGCCTCCATTTTTTGTATTCATTATTTTACGATAACTGAGATTCAATTATTGGTTATTGGATTTATATACCATCGATTTTGCGCCAAATCGGTAATTTTGAAAACTAGGAAACACTATGCTATGGCGCCGTAGTAATATGTGTTTATACCACAACATTCAACAAGATCGGTGGCACGCCGCCAGGAGCAGACTCAGACGCGGCCGGTGGGTGCGCGATCAGTCTGTTGAGAATATAGAGAGAATATATATCATATGTGAAATATGTCTAATAGGTGCGCAGAATTACCAAGGTTGAAAGTGTCTAAATATATTAACATAAAAAAATTGAATTATATCCTCCCCAACCCCGACAACCTCCACTCCCAACTTTTTTACCTCTTAAAAAATTTCCAGGATCGTCGAAAACGTCAAAAAACAAAGTTTGAGTGATTTTTATTATTTTTGTTTTTGGCTTCTTTCTCTGCCCCAGTGGACCAATTTTCAAAAACTACAAAGCTTTTTCGTCTTTTGCGTAGTAGTAACATTGCGTAAAAATTTCATCAATATCCGAGCGGTTCCTCGCAAGTTATAGGCGGTTATAGGATTAGCGGACAGACAGACACGCCGGACTACGGGCAGACGGAAAAAGCATATCTCATTTTCGAAAACTTTATTACAATACTTCCTCGCCAGTTAATTATACTTTGCTACCTTTTATCTAAGTTCAGCAGAACACAGCAGCAATTAGTCATTAAACAATAGGACTATTATACGAAATAGATGCTTCGAAAAGTACCAATGAATTTTTTCACCACAAGATGGAGAAATTAAAAGAGTGGCTTACCTTATTGTAGTCTTTTAAGAAATCAGTGTGTCCCAGAAGTTGTGATAATCTGCCTAACACATTTCCTATTGACGACCAAACGTTGTAGTCCCTTTCATCTTTATAAGCCTCCAACAGTTTAAGTACTTCTACCGTATTTGTATGACCCGCTTTAACCATTGCAAATAAGTCGTCTACTAATCCTAACCTAAAAAAAGGAGAATAGGTTTATTATTGTTTTTCATTTAAAAAGTATCGCCAAGTAAGTTGATTTTGTACTTCCCACGCAACGCTGTCATCAGTTCGTAAAGGATTATGTTGCGCCTTTCTGATAACATGTTCAACAAAAAATTAAGTCTGTTTGATAGACGTCCCTTGAGGGCTGAGTGCTGTTTGAGGGTTAATCTACCCTTGGAAATAATGTAACCATGGTAACAATAACATTTTCTTTAGTGACGTTAAAGGGAGGATTTAAGATTCACATTCAGCAGTATGCTGCAACAGATGCCATCACAGGCTGTCATTGATGTCAGGAGCATTTTTCTTAGGAGTGGCGCATGCATGGTGGACCCTACCTGTGATACCTGCACGTTGCTGATCTGCCAGTAAAAAACATTGCGGGACAAACGATGTCACAATAGTCAGATGATTTGTGCACGTTAAATGAATCCAAACAGCAAAACACAGCCATCATGAGAGCATAGTGGCCAATGGAAGAAACAATTGACTACTATGATCGGTGGGGTCTTGTAATAAGCAGAAAACCTAGTGTATTGTAGTTGGACAAATTCGTACGTACCCTAAACAGATCAAGTTTGACGGGAATGGGGAGCGAACAGTTGTAACCCCCGTCATCAGGCTTCAGCTCGAATTTTTCCAAAGAAGTGAAATTGAAGATAATTGAAGCATGCACCTACCCGGTTCTACCATACGGCCTTACTTCTGTGTTCCCACGCATGTGTAAAAGTGGCATTTGAATTAGAGAGGTGCCTTAAGAAGATATATAAAATAGCTGGTCAGTTTCCCTACTGCATTCCAGATGACATACCTTGGGAGATGCTACAAAAGGACAGTGAGGCAACACGCCTGGATCAGGCGCATAAGAAATTTCTTAAACACACTGATGAAAACAAATCAGTGAAGCCGATTTTAATCAAAATAGATCATCCAATCAGCCAGCCAAAGCAGCGATGTCAGATCAGGCCTCCAAAATTCAAGCGGCCTGTGCTCAGTATCACATAATGATAATAATACTTTGTAAAAAGGTTCTATCCGACGTCCTCTATCCTCCTCATATTTTCCCACTTTTCTAAGAAGTACTTATTTTGAATATATACAGAAGCAATGTATTTTTTCGATTGTTTATAATATATAAGCCAAAGGCATCATATGTAACATAATCTTTATAAAATAAGGGATTCAAATTGATAGAGATTTTTCTTTGCTAGCCATATCTATTTAGCATTTTGATAATAAATTTGAGACTGAACAGTTTATTTTTGGGCAAAATATTGCAAAATAGTAATGTAAGTGAATTGTTGAATTTATAGCGGAATCGAAACTAGTAAATTATGGGTATAGGCAAAAAGTACTGCACCGAACTTGCTACCACAGATTATTAGCTACACAACTTGATAGCTGGGCACAGTATTTAAAAAACATTCACATCATTCATAATGAGTAACACAAATACTAAAAAGACATTTAGTGAGGCATAGAAAAATAACCTAGATACTGGGCAAATTTAAAGGAATCATTGAAAATAAAAAATAAAAACTGATAGATGCTCAATCAATTCGGAGAACAATGCTTAAGAGCAAATTGCACAAACCTTAACGAAAATAGTACATCCAAAAGAACCGGTAAACAACCGAAAAAATTGTGGAAAACCAAACAAAGGTAAGTATAATAATTTTATAACTGCTGGGGAAATAACCATATCGACTATGATTTCATGTTTATAAAGCTGCCTTTTTCTTATGGGAAGTGTTCAAGAAAAGGCTTAATTGTTTTGTGAAAATAGCGCAATGTCTGCATGTTTGCGATTTTGAATTTTAGAGTGTCTACAAAAAGCACAGAGGTTGGTGCCACAGCAAAGAAAAATCTTTCTGACATCGATGACATCTGTAAGAGCCTACTGCGAAATGCAAATTTTAAATCCTCCCTCGAACGTCCCTCAAGAAAGCGTTATCGTTGCATTGTTTCCAATAGGAAACCAACCCTCAAACGGCACTCAATCCTCAAGGGTCCTTTATAAATATGACTCTAAATTACTCGTCCCCTCCCTTCGTTTTTGGCATTTTTCTCTACCGCCGCTGGACCGACTTTCAAAAACTACAACGCTTTCTCGTCCTTGGCATATCAGTAATCTTGTGTGAACATTTCATCAAAATCCGACCTGTACTTTCCAAATTATAGGCGGGCCATTCGTGGACAGACAGACAGACAGACCGACGAAAATGACATCCAAAAAAGAAAATATTTTCGAAATTTTTCACGATTACATCGCTTCCTCGCCAGTCGGCGTGGGAAGTGAAATGATCAGTAGGTTTATTTTTCATTCAAAAAGCAAAAAATTCCTACCTATCTAACGGCGGTAACGTTTTATTCTTGATGGCGGGGATAAACTTCTCCAGCAGCTCTGGTGTATACTGTGTTCTATAGAAGCCGATGGTACCGGGGTTCACTTTAATAAAGTCATCTGGACCAACGTTCGGTACCACAACATCAGCTGATTTTGTTTTCAGCATCGTATTCACCACTTCCTCAGGAAGGTCTTTTGAGGTAGATATTCCGATGGGGACCATCCAGAGGTAGTCTTCTGCAGGTTTGGAACCGTCTGCGGTAAACTTGGACTGAGTTAAGGTTAACGACACGCCGTTGCCGTCTTCTAAAATCAGTACAAACACGAATGAAAATGTGAATATTCTCAAGATTCCAAAAAACAACAATTTACCAAAATATAATAATAATTTCCTTATTGTACAATGTACAAATGGCAAGGACTGACCTAAGGTCATTCATGCTTAACCTGGTCCTAAAAACTAACCTAACCTAATTTTAAACTATGAGAAATAAATATTCTTTAGCGCCTTTTTGCTGAAATCATCTTCCACTGAGGGAATTGACATATTTAAAAGCTTTACAGTATTATATGTTACAGAGCGCTGGAGATATCACAAATTGTAATGAGTTTAAGCAAAAAGTAAAGAAATGTCTATGCCAAAGCTGCTTTGTACTGTAGAAGAGTTTTTATCTTATAAATTTTAAGTTGCCATTATCATATGTAGGTCTACTGTTTTTATTGTAATTTTTAATATGTCTTATGTATCAATTATTTTTTTGTTCTTAGACTTGTCATTTGTATTAATTTACGAAATGTGATCAATAAATGTCTATCTATTCAATCTTCTTGAACGTTTTGTTTTTATTTTCTTAAATTCAGTCATTTAAATTTTGTGCCGTTTAGACAGCTACCTGTGCAAAGCAAAAATCTAGCATGACGTCCAAAAGCAAAAAATGCCATCAAATAGATTGACTCTATACTTCCTACGCCTTCGTTGGACATTTCAAACAAAAGAGATGAGTAAAATTGTTTCAATAAGCGAAATCGAATCGTGACTAGCTAGGTTCGATTAGGTACGATAAATCTTCGACTTCTGCATATCAAACTATATAAAGCAAACCTATCATGTTTGTTTCCATTACTGACGTAGGAAAAACATGTGTGACTTATTATGTCTAACAGGTGCATAGTATCACTGAGATCAGCAGCTTCTTAATAATCGAAGCTCCTTCACTGACACCAAATACGCAGCTCTTTAAAACCATTTACCGGATGCAGCTTTCAACCTACAATTTTCATCCCTTTTCCAAACAATGTCTGAAAATGAGAAGGAATTCCAACTTCTCTACTCTCAGGTAGACGTGAAAGGACAACTCATCGTAATGGAGATGGTAGTTCCTAAATGAAAACCATATACAGGGTATAAGCTTTGCCTCGAAAGACGCTGTTGAACATTCGTCTCAAGATGTCTCAAGCGCGTGACGTACATGTGAAAGAAGAGATCAGAGTATCAGTTAATGGAGTCGGCATTAAATCTGATATCTATGAGGACGTAGATATCAAAGGTGGGGCAAATAACATAGAATAATGTTAATTAACCATAAACGAATTAAGTGGTTTCACTATGGGAGTAAAAGCCAACAATTATTACAATTTCATCCACCGCCTGGTCTATTTGGCACTCACCTGTAGGTTGACTGGTAACTTTAACAACAGGAAAGCCCATCTGTTTGGTCCAGGTTGACATGACTTGCTTGACCGGCTTGTTGCTGACCTCTTCTAGCGCAGCCCACAGGTCCTCAGTAAAAGTGTTGCCATACTGGTGCCGGGTCAGGTACAAGTGCATCCCCTTTCTGAAATCCGCATCGCCGATGTAGTGGTGCAACATTCTGAGCACCGAAGCGCCCTTGTTGTAGCTGATTTCGTCGAAAATCTCGTCGATCTCGGATGGATTGTCTACAGGCACTTCGATCGGGTGAGAGCTTTTCAAACTATCCAGCTCCAGGGCCTGTAGAAGTAAATCATTGATCATATTAGATTAGTGTGCCTTAATAGAAATTATTAGGAACCGCTAATGTAATTGCAAGATAACAGCGACCTTAATAATAATTGGAAGTTGACACTAAAGGTGCACGCCTATTGAAATAAAGAGAAGCCCGCGTACTACAGCGGCGCGAAGCCTAGGAGAAGAATAACAATCTCCTTCGACAGCCAGGCTTCAATGAAAGCACTAAGCGCCTGCAAGATTACTTCGAGCCTTGTATTACAATGCAGGGAGGCTCTGGAGTTAGCAGCGAGGTATCTGGTATCGTTAGTGTGGGTACCACGGCACGCACGGACAAAGTTTAATGATATGTCGGACGCTCTCGCGAAATAACGGTCAGCGAGCAAGGATTTTGGACCTGGGCCAGCCCTAGAGGTGCCCTCGAAAAAAGTCAGGACAATAACGGTCAAATGGATTATCTAGACAACACTCTGGAATGAAGAAATATCTCTAGACATCTCCGTAAGGCACAGGAGCACATCTTAAGGCTTAGTGCAAAGGATGGACGTTTTTGCTTATCTTTGGATAAAGCCAACCTAGGATTATTGGTGGGAATGTTGTCTGGTCATAACAGGACCAGGCGCCACCTAAATGTGATGGGGATGGTTGAGTCCAACACTTTAAATCCCCAGAATGTTAAGGCGCTGGAACTGGGGCTATACTCAACTTTGGTAGAAGGGCGGAGTCTGAGGCTTAGGGAATATAGTGGTGCATAAGGGCCCGTCATGTGACCTATGCGTCGGCTCCTCGTGGTGGCCGGTATGCCTCTAAATTAATATATTTCATTCGTTCATTCATTCCTTCACGTTGCTTTGGTTTAATCCATAAGCAACTTTAAAAAACCGTTTTCCAATTATTGCATTAACCCAGCATCTGAAGATATGAATCTCTAGGATGGCTGTTACATTCTGTGATGACGATTGGCCATATGCTGACATATTTTCCTCAGAGGTGGAAAAATGTCTTTGTAAGTGTCCATTTACACTATATCAAAGAACCTAATATGAATCACATATCTGTATACTTAAGGGCTCACGCAGACAGAAAGCGTTCAAGCATTCCGAGTTCTTCAAGCAATACAGGAAAAATAAGACTGAACTATCCTTTTTCATCTCTCTCACAATTAATCGGATGCACCCAGTATCTTTTTTTCTTATTAGACTCTTCGAAACCCCACAAAAGCAATGCTTCATCTTCTGAAGACGGACTATCAAAATACATGTTTCACCTACAAGTAATCTTCGTGAAATCGAACGCAGTATTCCTGACTGCCTCCTTTCTGTGTTAGAACTCTTAAGAGGAATTGACCGGACGAACGCGGCTTGAACGCTGAAAGATTGTCTGTCTGCGCGAGCCCTAAAAAATAAATGAATAAGTACTCATGGTCCATCGAAAAGAAATTTCAAGTACAGCTCGGTCACTTTCAAGTATTGTTCAGAGTTGTCTGCGATAGATTCAAACGGACTGCGTTTCCAGAATGAATGCAGCAAATTACTAAATTCGCACACATAGTTCGTCGACCGTGTTCGCCTTGGTTTTAAACACTAAGGGCCAATTTCACCAACAACAGTCCGTTATTCTCAACCAATAGGGTAACTGACCGTCAGATACAGCGAATGAGCTTCAAGTTCCAATCAACAAATTTTAGCAACCAATAGCTATGAAATGTTGAAAACAAAATATTGTCAAAGTATGAGATGACATCTTGTCATTGAAACATCTCCAGCTTATTGAATATGAAGAAATTACATATAATTCAGTCATAATTTAAAGAAATGTTTGATTTTTGAATTAAATTCATGTTTTAATTACTGTTGTTGATTTTTTATTCATTATTCATCATTATTTTCTTCAATTGATATGCCATTTTACTGATTCAACATACATACCGTGTGTTCTTTTCCTATAAACCTCTTGCAGATAGCCATTAAGCACCTACTTGATGACAGGCTCTACCAAAAAGTTCATGGATATTGCTCGTTTCCAAAGATTCATTCATTTACTTGCCGTTCATCAGAACCATTATGGCACCTGAGATTGATATTCCCACAAAACCATTCAGGTCTTTTGATATCCATACATCCATAAAGTTGAATATTTTTCGTTGTTCAGGAACTAAACAAACATCCACATCCACACATTCTAGGTTATATTTATATTAGGCATTATTTGAATACAGCTGATTCACATGTGTGATATCTGTCAACCCTTGGTCACAGTCACAAAAGATTTATACTCTGGAGAAGGTTTAATTCCATGCTATTCCATGACAACAGGGTGACTTGTGTGGTTGTCAGCGGTCATTTTTTGAGGGTGCGACATGGTTGCCACATTGTGCATTAATATCCCGTTTCACCCCCCTGGTCCTAGGGGAGTAAGTTCCGCCAATTGTTGAAATATACTCTACTATGCTTTATAAGACTATTCGTGGAATTTTTCCCAAAATCGTTGCACAACACTTGAAAAAATACGATACGATACGATCCTATATTTAGAAGTATCAATACATTTCACGAATATCGTCGTCTTTCGATCCGGACTGTGCCATTTGGCTGCGACATTACCCTGCCAAATCAGACATAAATTTCATCATTTTTAAAGAAATTGTACAAAATCTTCAAATTTGTGAAGTTAGCGAGTTTCACTTCATACGATCTTACCAGACATGCCCAAATCATCAGTTGCTGCCGTGATATTCATCCCGACCACTGCATCCCCACGGCTAGGCGAACTGTATGTTAAATTTGTATTGATAGGGCAGCGGGTGATGCTATAAATCATATGTCACAGTATTTGTGCACTGATTGCAACGGTTAAATGATACCAAAAATATTTCCATAAATAGGAGATCTTTCCCATTCCGGATCGAACAATCCACCAAAGATGCTTATGATCATGATACCTAGTAAATTTACATGAAAAAACCTCTGCATGTAGGTATATAAGAGCTTTCTTATATTTGTTCATCAATTTGATGATACAACACGTCTGCTAAAAATGATCATAATCAGGATAGTAAACTATGAATTTTCAGACTCTTCATTTGCAATTTGACAACAAACCATGACGGTGTTCACATTTTTCAAATATTCTTCAAGAAGTGTTATCAGTCTAGCTCCAACTATCATAAGTACTATGTTTGTATTCCTACTTTAAATTCAAAACCAGCAAATGTAAAAGATTCATGTCGCAGCCTTCATCACGGGACGTGATCGTCGTTAGACTTGGCAACCCTGCGAGTAACAGATAGATAACCCCACTAGTGACAAAGCATTCAAACAATAAACATTAATAGTTTTTTGATTTTTGGACTTAAAAGGCATTATTTGTGAGACATTTTTCATAATTTTTTGTCTATGTCCATAGTAATTGCAATATGCATCACGGAGATGTAGGGATCGACACGTCTCACACATATTATCCGTGTTTTAGGATGGAGAGGACAATGTTTTTAAAGCTTTGAAGAAATTCATTAAACCGTAAATTAATAAATATTAGTATTATGATGTAAAGGAAGATGAGGAATTGGATGGAATGTATTTTATATTCTATTTTCTTGCAAAATACAGACAAATCCACACTATTCAACAGGTATGTAATGATAACGGTATATTGAACTTAAATTCGAGATTGCCATGCATTAACAAACGTCCAAATCTGCTGCCAAATTAACAGCTAGAAAATCGACCTATTATTTGCCGCATTCCCATTGGCTTTTGGGATAACTGATTGTTAAATGTAAATTTAAACACAAATCAAAATAAATGAAAGTTGACCTGTTTTCTCTGTACAAAAGCATCATGTTGGAATCAAGAGGTGGTCTTGTTTATAATACACTCGAATTTTCACGATTTTATTCAATATTTTAATAGAAATCACTGATATTCAGAGACCTTTGACAGCTTCTGTCAAATTGCATTTCGATAAGGTATTTTCCCATTGGTCCATAATACTATTGTTGGTGAAATCGGCCCTTAACATTTCATTTCGCCCCAAAACAAAACAAAAAATCACAAAGGAACTTGAAAAACGTTCTGCATGCACTCGCGAAGCCTGGGTAGCCTTTCAAAGATACTCACCGTAAATTGAAATAATATGAATAACTCCGATTTTTTTTGAACCGATGAGTAAAGGTTTTGTTTACAAACGTGGCCAATGCCTCGATTAACTTTACTGGTGTACATCGTACGTGTTTACATTTGATCTGATCGAGGTGCACGACCGGATTGGGTTTTTTTTTAGATGTGATTTATTTTGCGGTGCCTAACATCACGGTAATCTCAGGAATTTGGTGTATATGTTACTAGAAAAAACTGTTCATGTTTCCAAGATCTATATGCCGTGTAAAGGAAAGTCTCAACTTTGAGGACTCCCTTTATATGCTAAAATGTTAAAACTCATCAAATTCGATCCAGTCGTTTTGGCGTCAAAACGGAACATACATTCACACTTTCACATTTATAATATGTAGTAGGGAGCTAGGGATTATTACTCACCTTTATGTAAGACTCGTTTACAAACTGCGTCCATAGGTCATACTCGGGGAACAAGTGGTTGATGCACAGGAACTCAAGAAAAGAGGCGTAACCTTCATTCAACCACAAGTGCGTCCACCACTCCATTGTCACCAGGTTGCCAAACCATTGATGGGCTAATTCGTGGCCCACTACCAACGCTATGCATTGCTTGGTGACTGCGGATGTGTTTTCAGGGTCTACTAGCAGGCAACTTTCTCTGTAAAATGAATCATAAATGCTGTAGATTTAGATTTTTATAACTTCCTCGATCGGACTAAGAATGAATTGTAAAATGTCGGAAACCAACGTTATTCAATATGTCTTATGGAACATCAGATAAAATGTCAAATAAGGACCACCTTGGTAGTCTCATATATGTAAAACAAAATATCCATCTATGTAAATATAAACGTAAATATCTTTCCAGTCTGTTAACATCACGTCTGAACCAAAATACGGGGAGACTTAAAACATTTGTAAGCTTACTGATTGAAAGGTTATAGGCAAGGTTTCATCCGCGAAAATATACAGGGATTTCGAAAAGTATGGATAGATCAAAATGTCTCGAAAAATACGTTTCCTAGAGGCCCGAATAGACAGATGCCTAGTATTTTGGCAAGCGCAGCTAACCCGATTAAGCTGTACGTAGCCCCTATCTATAACAAGGCATTGAGGAAAAAGAAATATAGGGAACTGATACTCAGGTGTCAGGGAAAATTAGTGCTGCGCGTGGTCTGCGCTTACAGAACCATGTCGACCGACGCACTGCTGGTGGTGGCACGGCTCTTGTCAATTGATTTGCTGGATATGGAGAGATGTGCATTGTGCACTCTATAAAAAGCGGCTGAACAGATGGTTTTTGAAGAAATCAGAAATCGCTTCATCCGATGTAGATATACAGTAATGGACAAAAGTATATAGAAAAATATGAATATTTACCTAAATACCTTTAGAAAACGAATTCATACTTCATTGCTCCATAAACAAATGCGTTATTAGCAGAAAAACTAAATTCCTTGTTTTTACATCATCTGCAATGAACACAATACAAGTCTGAATATAAGCACTTTTTTATGAGGGACAAAAATATGTAGACAAATTCTTTTCAAGATTAGTTTAGTACAGTTTCGTGTCAGAAGAGGATTAGCTTGTGTTCATCAAGTATTGTGGAATAAGTTAAGTGATTTCAAGACCATACCGCGTGGTCCAGAAATGTCTTCGATGTGAAAACTAAGATCATTGAGTTATACAAAGATGGTCAACGTCAAGTCGACATTGCCAAAAATTTGAGGCTGAAGCGTAAAGCAATTTGGGCAATATTGAACAAATATCAACAAAAAGGTATCTTGGAAGCTTCTAACAGAAGTGGTCGGCCTAGAAAACTAAATGCTAGATCAGTTAGATTAATAAAAGTAATTTCGTCCAATTAAATTTGGAGACCATACCACTGTGTTGTACTCTAAAATACTCCGCACCAAAGAGCAATATAAAATTCGTCAAGTAAATTCTCTAATGTGTGTTTAATTCTGTAAGATTTCCGCATCGTGTATATTTCTCGCTGCTATGAATAATTTAAGACCATCTACAAAAATCAAAAACTGAATTAGACTGGACCGATGTAGGAGCCTTAAGATACACCTGAAAAGACATATGGTTGAAATTTTTACACCTTTTTTTGTCCCTCTGGTTAAAAACATAACTGCAAGCTTAAATAAAAAATGCAGTTGCATAGCAATAGTTGTTAACCAACTCTTACACTACACTTATTACAAATTGTATTTAGTTGGTAGAGAATTGTGTTGCTGATATGTAGTACAAATTTTTCATTTCATACGGTTGTTGTCAAACTGACTTGTAATTTTTTATGTGCAGCTCGGTAGAAGAAGATTGAAAGATAACATGACAAAAATGGGCTAAAAAATCCGAATTATTTATACAATATTTAGCTCAAGCTTAGCTGGTAGCATTCGGTGCAATTCTTTTGCATATTCAGCCACTCCTAGGATATACTCCATGCTAACATATTCCCATACGTGTGAATTCGTGAATGAATAATTACCACGTGCAAACAAAAGTACAAAATAAAGCGATGGTTAAGTATATTTCTTTGAATACATAATGACAGTAACAAACAACGATATTCATTCAACAAAATGCGTCTCTTTATGTTCTCTGTTAGAACAACATTCATCACCTTATGCACAATGCACATGTCATTAATTATAATGTCTCATAAATTTCATTTGAATAGTTCTCCCGAGATAACTGTTTATAATTACAGATTATGTAAGTGATATACAACACAAAAAATATTTTATGTGTAGTATAAAAAATCAATTTTAAGAAAACCTGTTAATTTACAAGAAAAAAAATCAATTAGGATGCAAAATATGAGTTACCTGGCATTTTTATAACATCGCATATAATCAGTATTCGGATACAAAAAAAATTTTTCAGGCACAAAATTTTGGTTTAAACGGTACATATCCAAGGTTTCCCATATTTAATAGATATGAATAGGCACTGACAGGGGGCTAGTCTATATGAAAAACTTATGTATGTATTTGTAGATTTTATATAAGCTATTCTAGATTCAAAGTGGACTTCTTGATTAAAAGTTATGCAAACTTTTCGACGTTTTCCCTTTTATTTCCCGATTTAAAGGCAATCTTGGAAAGCTTGGGTTTTCAATCCTTTTGTCCTTTATTATCAACGACAGTTAGCACTGATAACGTCATTTCTGTAAAAGATTTCTGTTTTCACATCTACATCCTGTGCTGAGGTCCGTTATATCAAGACTCGCTCAGCAGGACTGATTGCTTCGATATTCGTGGCGGTGGACAAAGCGTATTTCAGCTTATATATTTCCCAGTCGGTCCTTAGTTTAGTACACTTTGTAACAGGCAACTCAAATTTTAACCGTCATTTTTAAGTTAAGAGTCTTTAAAGTAAAGCAGATACGCCGCGTCATGAGCTCCAAAAACTATTTGTCAGTAGCCATTCCACCCAGATTGTATGGTCTACCAAAAATTCACAAGACATCTGTCCCCCTTAGACCTATTGTCTGTGCGATCGAGTCACCTACTTATCCACTAGCGAAACATCTAACGAACATGCTCCAGCCTCAAATAGGTCACAGCCAGTCGTATGTCAAGGACTCCACCGATTTCATAAGAAAGATACAGAACATCCGGCTCACGCCAGACGACATTTTGGTCAGTTTTGATGTAGTGTCACTTTTCACAAATGTCCCACTAGACCTATCACTGGATTACCTGAAGCAAATTTTTCCAGAGGATATTCTGACCTTGTTTCGACACACCCTAACAACTACATATTTCCAGTGGAACAATCAATTTTATGAACAAACTGACGGCGTAGCAATGGGAAGTCCGCTAAGTCCGGTAATAGTCAATTTCTACATGGAAAGATTCGAGAAAGCAGCACTGAACACCGCTCCCAATCGTCCCAGTTGTTGGCTACGGTATGTGGATGATACCTTCGTGGTATGGAGCCACGGAAGAACAGAACTAGCAGTGTTCCTAAATCGCCTAAACAGCATTCACCCCAAAATCAAATTCACAATGGAGATAGAAGAGGACAATCACCTGGCCCTTCCTAGACTTATTGGTGGTCAGACTAGAACAGAAGATGGGTCACAGGGTTTACCGAAAAACAACAAACACTGACAAATATCTACACAAGGACTCCAACCATCATCCTGGGCAAGAGGTGTCATTAAAAATATGATATACAGGGCACATCGAATTTGTGAACCTCAATACCTGCAGGGGGAACTGGATCATGTTAACATGGTTTTACAAGCAAACGGCTATCGTAGGGAACAAATAGAACAGGTTTCACGAGAAAAAAGCAGACCGCCGGCAGGAAACAAGGAACCACCTGCGGGAGTCTCCTCCCCACCATACATTAAAGGCATCACGGATAGAATAGGAAGGTTGCTGCAGAAACACGTCAAGACCATCTACAATCCGACAAATAAAATCCAGCAACTCCTAACATCAGTAAAGGACCCTAGGGACACCCTGAGCGGTGCCGGCGTATACAGAATACCGTGTTCCTGTGGTAAAGTATACATAGGCACCACTAAACGTAGCTTCCAAACACGCATCAAGGAGCATGAAAGAAACAGTCGACTAGGACAAACTGATAAATCAGCGGTGCCGAACACGCACTCCAAGACGGCCACAATGTTCTGTTCGACCAAACTGAAGTCCTATCAACATCCACCCACTACTCAGCCCTATTGTACTGAGAAGCCTTTTGAAATCCACACACACAATAATAATTTCAATAGAAAAGAAGAAGGCCTTGCTTTAAACAAAACGTGGTTCCCACTTCTAAAAAACGCAGCGCAAAAGCCACGTCACTCAAGAGGCCCAGAGTACCCCAACCAGACAACTCAGTCCTCAGTCCGCCGATCGCCTATAAAACCGCACGCTCATTAAGTTAAAGGATCAGTTTCAGTCGACCCGCCAAGCCGAGCACTTCGCTCTCGCCGACAGCGCCACTGAAGATGGCTACCGCAGATGTAGCCGAAAGCTCTGGACCAAATCCAACACGACCAAGGTCCAACAGCCCGAAAAACCTAAATTACAGTAGAATTAGCCGTGAAAGCCTTCATTCTTCAATCTAAAAACTAATTTTTTTGAATGTAAACCAATCACTATGATGCTCTTAATTGGCCAATCTCTCTCACTAAAGTACATTGGACTAAATCCTGTTAAGGCATGAGTTGGGAGGTCAAGACCTACCCACACGATTTTTTTGTACGAAATCCATGTTCAGGTCCTAGATGACGACTAAGCTTAACGTTTATGTACAGGAAATATGCGATTGCCTAAATTATCTATTATGGCAGAATCAGCTTATCCGTTATAGCAATTTACAAACTTTAGTTGTTTCTGAGGTTTTGAATATCTACATTAACTTTACATCTTTCAACGTCAAACTCGTTTCAGCTTAATGAAAATGTTGCAATAACGCAGTTTTCACAACCAATTCCACGGAGTTATTATTACTAATGCGTTCATCATTACTGTTTACATAAATATTATATGCAGTCAATTTATCATGATTGCTCAACATGCTTCAACTACCGTTGATTAAAACACCTCCGTTTTCTAGGTGTGAGCAGGCTGAAATTTATTCATTTATCCATGTAGTCTCTTTCGTAGTAATTTATCAATCAAATGTAATTTGCCATACTGCAAGCATAAACAGTTACAGGTGGTAATATAAATGAGCTATTATCCACCCAGATAATGCATTTTCATAAATTCTTAAAAAAATATGACCTACTGCAGATAATTTAGCCTTAATTGTGGTACAAAATATATAAAAAATGTGTATAGTATTAGTACTTTTGCAGTTATGCTAAAAACAATGTACAGCCTGCGAAATTCGAAAGTTTTGGCTTAACAGATAAGGTTAAAATCATTTTAAAATAAACTAATTCCAAAATACTCTTTGCGGTCTTATAGACCAAGATTTGACTTTAATTTAGTTCCTTGACAACTTCAAAAAATGTAGTTTTTATCTGAGTTTTTAAGCATTTTTTAGGGTATTTGAGACCTTAAATCACTTATAGTTCGGAAATTCAGATGAACATTCAAGAAAGATGATTCAAGTTTTGTCCAGGCCCAAAAATTTTAATTTATTGAAATAATTGTTTAAATGAATTTGATCTGGGTAGTAGCGTGCGGTATATTAAAAGCTTAAAAACTCAGTTAAAAATTATAATCATTGAGGTCACCAAGTATCTATCTCGATTGTCAGCTCACTTTTAACTACCACAACAGTGAAATTATAAGTAATGCTTATCGCAAATATGGCTTTATTATCAGACATTGTAGAAATTTCAATAACACAACGCTTATTAAGTGCCTGTTATAAGTAAATTAGAATACGGTGTAATTATTTGGAGTCCTACCTATGAACTGTACAAAAATAATGTTGAAAAAGTGCAAAAGAAATTTCTAAAATATCTATGCTATAGGAGTGATGGTGTCTATCGTCCAAGAGAATATGACTACTCACTATTATTGGATAGATTTGGCGTCCCTTCTTTGAAGAAGCACATAGAGAGCAGGCGTCCGTCATATTTTCATACAAATTACTGCAGGGTAACATCAACTGTCCTGTTTAGCTATCGCAAATTAATTTCCTGGTACCTAGATTGACATCTAAATATAGTTTCCTTTTTCTGCAAGATCGCGCAGACAAATCTTCTATCGAAAACATCAATAAACTTTATCATCTTTGACTATTTTTACGCCTTTCTCTAGAGGTTTTCATTTGTTATATATTTATGTGTGAACATTACATGATATGTCTATATATGTATATGTATATATGTGTATGTATGTGTATATGGATATGTATGTATATACGAGTATATTCTGGTATCCTAATATCTATTAATCATATTTATAGTTTCTTTTCTCTCTACTTAAAGCACCTTCCTCCTTTCTGTGTGTGTGTTTTTTTGTGTCACTTTATGGCACACAGACTTTGTAAATTAAACCATTGTACTATGTATTGTTTTCTAAATGGTACCTGTACTGTTGGGCAATAAATGCTTTATTATTATAGCTGCAAGATAACCGTCGTAACTGACGGCTTCTCTTCTTAATCCCACAACGTAATCGCTGGTGTTCTTCAGGGATCAGTCTTTGCTCCGACACTGTCGTTCTTACATATCAACGACCTCTTTCCCTGTACGATCAATCAAACCCACAGGTTTGCTGATGAAAGCACTCTACATAAAGGAATTCAGTGACAAGACGATCTCTCCAAGAACTGAAGAAAAGAAGACTAGCAGCGACTTTCTCTCTGACGAGAGACCAGGAGGTAATCACTGACTGGGGGCGCAATTATCTTGTGCGCACCCTGGCGAACAAAAAGCGTCCTAGCGGTCATCCGGTTTCGATAGATGGCGGAGTTCTGCCAAAGAGCCGTTTATTTCGGTCCAGATCACCGAGGACTTAGTCTGGTACGAACACATCTCGTCAATAGCGGCAGCAGCTGGGAAAAAGCTAGGCCATTTGTTTAGGGCTAAGGCTACGCTAAGGTAAGACCTAGCCTCGAGTATTGCTCACATGTTTGGGGTGCTGCCGCCCCGACTATATTATCCATGTTCGATATTGTTCAGATGATGGATGTCCGACTGATCGATGACTCTTCTCTAACTGACAGTCTCGGGACCCTTTCACACCGGCTGGCGATCTACCTCTCTTCTACCCTACAGCAAAGGGCTTTACTCCTCGGAGCTCTCCTCCAGGATGCAGTCGCGCGATGTGCCTGCCTAACTTCGGACTCTCATATTAACCGTGTCGAACCTCGCACATCCAGAACTGGTAGGTATCGAGATTACGGAACAATCTACATGATGAGGCTCGTCCCAGTTCTACTAACCTCAGGCAGTTAAAAAAACGGATTAACAAAGTTTCTTTAAGTTCCTCCTAGCAGCCGCGGTGCCCTAGCATTTAGGCTTCTGCTCCCATACTAATTGACGAGAGAATATTTTTTACTACAATTGAACGTTTTGCTAATATCTTAACTTTTACATATATTGATTTTATCCAAATTTACTTAGTCATAATTGATTGTTCGACTTTCTATTGCAGTATGGCAAACTCTCCTATACTTGGAAATTATTTTCTACTTTTTAGTTTGATCTGCTATTACAGCGCGCTTTCAGTTTCTTAAGCTATAATTTATTTTCTGAATTGTTATTCTAAAACGACAACAAAGGTACTTATAATCAAGAGTTTAGATTTTTGGTATGTTTTATACTTGACCATAAATCTAAATTTACTTTATTCCTATTTACATAACCTTTCCATTTCATGTTCAATTTCTTTCCAAAATTCCCAAATTTTTTCCAAATTTTTAAATCCAAATTTCGTTCCAACTTTCAAAATTTTCATTTTTTTACAAAATGTTCAAGTTTTTCTGATTCCGAGATTTTCAATTTTTTTTCAAAATTTACCAACTTTAATATGAACTTCCAAATATTAAAATTATTTTACAAGTTTCCGAATTTTTTTCCAAATTTCAAAATTCAATTTTTTTTTAACTTTCAATTTACAATCGGCCCTTGACCCATGTGAAAATTTTCAACTTTTTGAAATTGGTGAACATTATGTCGAAAGATTCCGTTATACACATTGTTTCGAATTAAAGTATTTACATACGACATTTCAGAGGAGGGGCTACCATTATGTAAATAAAGCTTTGACATACCTATAAGTAACAAGACCCCAGTTCTCCATAGCGCCAGCGCTGAAATCCGCAACAGTTATTAAGTCGATCTTGGGCAATGGATATGCGATGTCGAAGTACTCCTTGTAGTACGGCAATACCTTGGTGGCTACTTCAAGTGCAAAAAGGCCTTGCTCCTTCTTACCTTTGGGCGTATACACTCGTACCACAACCCCATCATTGGACGTTTCCTCTACGTAATCGTACTCCCCGATTACGGCAGCTACCAGGTACGTTGACATTATGGGGGTTTTCTCGAAGTCATATCTGAAAAGAAAATTTATTGAACTATTTGTTTCGATGAGAATCTAATTGTTTTATTTACGAAAGAAAGTAATGTGTTCCGGGATAAAATATGGATAAAAAATAAAAACATTCGTCCCATTAGAGCAGAACTGCGTCCTGCGCAACCAAGATAGAAACGTACGACATAGACTAAATTTTTAATCGGTAGTTTTAGGTATTCTCTGTGAGCGTATATCTGGGATACTTCTGGAGCGCGCGAGACGACCTTCAATAGGCCATATAGAATATAAAAAGCAAAATTTGTAAATATGTGACATGGAATAGTTCGGCTCCAGATCTCTATTCAGTTTCGTGTTCTTCAATAAAAGTATATCTCTCTCATTGAGGAGCGGTAAAAGAAAAATATCGAAAATTTAGATGAATTTGCTAATAACGGAAGATTCGCCCGACTGATGTCCCGATCATTTTTAAGGAGATATCAATCTTGTATTTATTGTGAATTTAATAAATACATTCATGAACTAATAAAAGTGGCATTACTATCTGTCTTGCTATCACAACGTACAATGACACTCTCCGTCATTCAGTGCAAATAAAAATTGAAATTTATAGTAATGGGAACTAAAAGAGCATCACAGGGTGTAGATTTTCCCGATTTTTTTAAAGCCTACACTTTGAAAAGTACACGACTTAGATTTTTTATATTTTCTATTACGAGTTGGCATATCCCCCGTTTGATATCGACTTCTGGGTCACCCTCTATATCTCTTTTGCGAAGATATCGCACATCATATCCCTCGGCGCTATGTGTCTCAAGATATATAAAAGTACCCATCCAATAATGGCTTACCTCTCAAACTATGTATGCAATATGCTATTTTATAAAATAATGTTCGCTCAGTATAAGGCAATTATAAAAGAGACTGAAAATGAAATTAATCAACCTACTTGACAAGGTCTCCTAGAGGTGTGCTGCTTTTGATAGGCATATTGGAAAGTGCAACCAGATGTTTAGGCACAGTGAGGCTGATATCGAATGTTGCTTTGAGTGCCGGTTCATCCCAACAAGGGAAGCAACGTCTCGCATCTGTTGCTTCGAACTGTGTTACCGCCGCGTAAGCCTCTTGATCGTCTCCGATCGTGTACTTGCTCCTACAAAATAAACAAAAACATGTAATCAAAAAAATGTCATATGCCAATCAGTCAGTGTTAGTAAAACAGCTTTCTTCGTTAGGCCATGGGATTCTACAGTATATTCAGATAAGAGATAGACCGGATGTAAACAAAAGGTTCGGGTGATTTTCACGCTAACGCCGCCGTCTCGACGTAAAACAGGAGCCCTCATTGGTCAATTCGCAATTAAATGCCTATGTCGAGCGGCAGAGCAGTCGTATCAAGGCAGAGTCACATTCAGGTTCAGACGTGTTACGTATGTCGTGTGCATCATTGCAATTTGATATTTCTTTGGACGTTTTCGTTTGTTATCTTATTAAGTTGTTGAGTTTGTCGTTGTTATTGTTATACCTTGTTATTGATTGTTATTGTTATCAACTGCTTGCGCAAAATGCCCAGTAGTACAGATACTGCCGATGAAGTTGTAAACTCCTGTAGTCCACCTAGGAAACGCTCTAAAAAAAGACACCTGAGTGCAGAAATGAAAGAGGTCATTTTGAATATATATAAGATCGAGCGCGAGGAGAACGAGGCATCAACCATCAAAGAAATTGTTGTGAAGGTTTCTCACAAAGTTGGGGTGTGTCGCGCATCAGTGTTTAATGTGTTAAGACAATACAAAAAAAATCACACCTTTTCTGAGCCAATGACCAGTAAACATCGCAAAAGTATTGTTAAATCATTGGATGAGGCTGGTAAGCATGCGATTAGGAGGAAAGTGCATGAATTCTTCTTTAGGAATGAAATACCTACTATAGATAAAGTTCTGCAGGAGGTAAATGGAGATACAACGTTGCCAAATTTCAAACGATCAACTTTCCATGCGTTACTGAAGCATTTAAATTTCAAATGGAAAAAACGGGGTCGTAATAGTTTACTACTGGATAGAGAAGAAATTGTGCTATGGAGGAGGGATTATTTAACAAAAATTGGGAAATATAGAAATCAAAACAGGAAGATTTATTACCTTGATGAAACGTGGGTAAACGCAGGACACACTACAAGTAAAGTATGGGTTGATGATTCTGTAACTTCATCCAGGAGGGCCTTTCTAGATGGACTTTCCACCGGATTAAAAAATCCAGCAGGTAAATACGAGTAATAGACAACAATCGGATGTTTTTCAAACCTTGGGAACAAGGTTCTAAACATTAATTCCAGGGGGCAGATAAAACATATTACAAGTAACAAAACTTTTATAACTTTCGATAAAATGCGTGGATGTTTTATTGTCATTTTCATTTGTTAGAACTTTTTTAAGCCATGTTTTTATGTGTTTTCGATATTTCAATAATTTTTTAATATAATCTTAAAATATGTCGAATATTATAAACTTAAAAAAAGTTACTAAGTTTTATATTGTGTACCGTTCCTAATATTTCTAATCATTTTAATTCATACTTTAAGCTTTATAAAGTTCTAATTTGTTAATATTAATATTTGCGCGTATTTCAGGTTCCTGATCATTCATTTTTTAAAGGTTTATAACTTTAAATTAAATTGTGAAGCGCTGAGTAATCATACGACGTTCAATATTCTTTCTTTCAATATGACTAAATAATCCCAATTATAGCAATCTGATACTCATGTCTCAATGTTTTTTCGCTGAATGTGATGAAAACATTTGAAAAAGGTTCGCTTATTGAAATAAATCTACACCAGTTAGTACTTCGATTTCCAGGTAAAGGGAAAAGGCTCATTATCTGCCATATTGGCAGTGAGGATGGATTTGTTGTTGACGGTCTGTGGTGCTTTGAGTCTAAGAAAACTGGAGATTACCACGAGGAAATGAATGGCGAATCGTTTGAACAGTGGTTTTCAAAAATTTTACCGAACTTAGAGGAAAACGCAGTAATTGTGTTGGATAATGCATTCTCCAAGAATGGAGAAGGTCCCAACAACGGCTTCAAGGAAAGTTGATGTTCAAAATTGGCTCCGCTCGAAAAATATCAACTTTGAAGAAGCAATGCTGAAAGTACAATTATTAAGAATTGTCAAGGATCAAAAGGCGGAATATCAAAAAACGCCATTGACGAAATGGCAGCAAGTCAAAATAAAACTGTGCTCCGTTTACCTCCATACCATTGCGAGCTCAATCCCATTGAGCTCATATGGGCAGAGGTTAAAAATTATATAGCTAAGCACAATACAACTTTTAAATTTTGTGACCTCAACGGACTTTTCAAAGAAGCACTAGAATTAATAACAGCGCAAAAATGGGAAAACTGTATTAAGCACGTGAAAGACAAAGTTGAAAAGAGAATGTGGGAACTGGACAATATTTTAGAGGAACAAGTCGAGCCATTCATTATTGACGTTGGTGCTTCAGGCAGTAGCGATGATGAAAGCTCATCAAGCTCATCTTTCCAATAAAAGATGTCGTTCATCAAATTCGGTAAGTTATAAGTAATTATAAAGCTACTGTATTTTTTAATTAATTATTGACATTTTTGAACCCATTTTGGCAAAACCTATTCAAGAATCTACTTTCTGACAATGTTCAACCATGCACATTTTTTTACGTTTTGAACGTTTTAATTTGGTTACATATTTACCTAGAAATCAAAAAATATACTAATCAATATTCTAAAAGCAATTTTAAGAGATATACGATTATTTTTAATTTAGGCTAATTTAAACGCCATTTTGAGATTATATTCGACTGTATTTCACCAAACATCAGGCGGCATCCGAAGCTGGAAATCGAAGCGAAAATTTTGAAACCCTTATGTATATTTACATCAATATTATATATTTCTTACCCCACCCCCACATGATCCTATATCCATCACCAATCGTATACACATCGAATTGTGCTAATTTACTACAAAGTTACGCAAAGCAGCATCTATATACTATCTAAAATATGTACTGCGTGACTCTTAATACGTCCCTGCCGAATGTTACAGCGTTCGATGATCACGTGGTCTTGTTTATGTCCGGTCTATCTCTTATCTGAATATACTGTAGTAGTAGATATTTATTTACTCCATAATATACCAGCAATAATAAGAATATAGGATGGGTAAATAAATATGTTTTTATACATACACATTATATGGATCATTCGAATGCTGGACCGTGTGACATTCCAAAAACAAAACAAACAATGAACTAAACAAAGAAAAATTTATATTAAAGATGTGACGTCGTATTGTGCACGAGAGCGGCAAGGCGCAGCTGCATCCGTGGCCTCGTCACTCGGGTTGCTAGGCAACGTGTGCTTCTGTCTCTTTCGAACGCACGTATTCATGGCAATGTGTGATTTTATCGCGCTCACTGACGACTTTGCCATAATGGCTGATACTATGTAGGAAATAAAGTTGTGTAAATCATTTGTTGAACATAATTTTGATTATCCGAACATAGTTTCCAAAACAGTTATCTGTAAAACTTCAATATCGTTTAAATACGCTAGTCGTGCTATATCCCAGGCTAATATCCTTGATCTTCAAAAAACTTGTTAACTATGAATGTTTTCGAAATAACGGCATTTCGCTTGGACATTTTTCTTATAATTTTTTTAAATGGGAGCTCTAGGTTGAGTCGTTGTCGAGATAGAGAGTCTTTTATTAACAGCCCACCAGCATACCTGTACAATCCCTTCATTTTGTCGTTGAGTTCTCCCTGGAAATCAATATTGAGTTCGTAAGGTCCTGGAGCCAACATGGATGCGAATTTTATGGTCGCTGTCTCGCATTTTGAAGACAACTGTACTTCGCTGGAGGTTAGTACCTTGTCACCCTTCAGCTCGGCCTTGTCGAATGTTAAATCTAAGGCATTAAGCACGATTTCATCAGTCGGTTCAACAACCTGAAACAAAAACATGCTTACTTAACGCTGAGTCGACAAAATTCAATTCAGGGGAGCGTTGACGCTGACATGGAACAGGTGCAATCTAGAAATTTTTGAAGGAGAGAAAATACTATGACAATCAAGGAGGCATCCTACAATAAGGAAGTTTCATATTTTTCAAAAGATACTCAAAATGATAGTCTAAGTAAAATGAAGAACAGCGCTGAATTTTTTTTAATATCTTGAAAAATAAAAAAGTTACGCTAGTCAGAAGTTTATTATTTGGAGAATCTTGGGGTGGGCCGTGCAAGTGAGTGATGACTTCACATGACGGAAGCTTATCAGCCCAGCACCACTGCAAGGAGACGCGCCCGCCGCGCCGCGCCACACACGCTTCCCCCTATTATTAACAATGAGTAAAAAATGGGTCAAACCTTCAACCCATAAATATTTTATTGTACCTAGGTGTACAAATACTAGCATATCAGTAGAATTAGAAAGAAGTGGTGCAAGGTAATGAATAGGGACGATAAATTGCCGCTGTCGGAAAAATCAACGTTGTTTTGCTGTGAATCCCATTTTGATGTAAGCAGCTATTTAGCTAATACCTATGATATAAATGGTAGCAATAATAATTATTATTAGTCTTAGTCTGTATGCCTCGCATGATAACGTAAAGAATCTAAATTGTTTAAAGGAGAACAGAAATAGATTTTCTTATTGCTTTCATTTCGAGATGATGCGAGTATATTTTTGTATAGTGAGCATCTTGTGGCTGTAGGAGAACACTGTTCAAACCATGTTTGTGCCGACGCTGCGATGTATAGGCGTCGGTCAAGTGTGGGCTTAATGTGTAATCATCTGAGAGGCTTCTATCAATTTTAGATTACTGCTAATAGTAGATAGTCTGGCATTTGTCCAGTAGCACTTTATGGAAGTGCATGGTGGTTCTTCGCTTCTTCTGTGCAGCCACATTAATAGCGCTACAGCATGCTTACAGCCACCCTCTTGTTCAGCACAACCACTGCATTCTAGCTTGATTACTGTTTCCTCCTTTTCGTCGCATTCAAAACTGCAATGATACGGATTGCTTTTAACTCTATGTTCGGGCGTAATACTGGCTTTTACAATACATAGATCTTTTTAACTGCACATAACCAATCTCTTCCATACCTATAATGACAACACCCAAATAACAATACCCAAAAATGAATGACGAATCATTGACTCTACTCCTGGTTAACAAATGGACATCGTGAATTGTTACGAAAGAATTATTAAATTACTGTGTGTCAACACCGGACGGCCATCAAGTCATATTGGCGTTGGATTAAATTTCAGTTCAAACAGTTGATTTTCTGGTCACTGCGTGATACTGAATTTATTATATATCAAACGTATCCGCTGGAGTTTGGGTCATCCTAAATTATTTGATGCATGCAAAGCATGTTTTCATTTTCGTCTATTTATAAAATTAATAAAGAGAAATAAGATCATTCATAATATGCCGCCACTGACACCACGCCTCCTACGTAGAGTTGATGACTCAAAACACTTTTATAAGTCCACAGTATATGGTACAGTCGCAGGCAATGGGTTGAAAAAATGGGTTCACGTTATCAGGGTTGTAAAGAATAAATTATACTATTTACTTACGTACTTCCGTACTGACATAAAGTGGATTGTTTATGAACAAATTCATTACTATTATTATGTCCACCTTCAAAAGATTTGTGGAAGGGGCTCGTAAAAAAACTTCTGGTCGGCTTGAGCGCTAAGGATGTATGCGATATGCCGTCGCCCGACCGCTTCACTACCGACGCGCGACGTTCCGTCATGTGACGTCACTACCGAACCTCGACGCGCGAGGCCGATCGGCTACAGCAGAAAATTCCATAACTTCCTTAAATTTAAATTTATTGGAATAATTCTTTCAGATTTGTCAAAGATACTATACTATCAGATGCAAGTAACACAGGCAGTATTTTCGACTATAGGAAACTTCCTAATTGTAGGAACGACTGACGATACGGTCCTAAATGACGTCAGTATAAACGTTCTTTAGAAATAAATCAAGGGTTCACATAATGGTGTCCACAAACTCAATATCGTTAATTTTTCACAGCCTGTTTAATAATGGATGAACCATGATTCGTTTGGAATGCCTGAGCCACGAAGACGTGATAAGAGTGGGGGGTGAGGCCCTCCTAAAGTAAGTTAGTACACTGCGCAAAAAAAATATTTCAGGTTCTGCGCATGTGGCATCTCTCTCTGTTCCTGTCACCATTACTATAAATAATTCCAATTTTGACAGTTCAGACGAGTTGCAAGCATACATTTTGGACAATATTAGTAAACCACGAAATAATAAACCTACAAAGAAAGGCAAAACGTGAGTAAAATGCACTCAAGGATTGCGGCAGGTTATGTTGAATTTTTTGCCATTTTTCACTGCGCAGACGCTCTATGCCATGTTCTACGCCCACTAGATTTGCGAGAGCTACACCATCCTTGACGACAGGATTCATACGAATACGTGTATAGTTGTAGTCACCATTCTTGGCGGGTCAAGCTAAGACTACCAGTATCCCATAATACCTATATCTTCATCTCCCTCATACATACACATGCAACCTACCCCTCTGTGTGATACGTTTTTTAGTTGTGTGTCTCAGTCTCGAAAAAATTGTCGTTACGTATGAGTGCTCTTCAATTATATTTGTCAGAATGACAACTTACTTGACATCGGCGTGCAATTTAAGTTGTCTTGTTATCAATCTTCAATATAAAATTGTACAATGTCCGGAAATACGATCATCAATGGAAAAAGCCGACAGCTCGTGCAAAATTTATTAGAGTATTTCTAGGAAGAGAATGAAAACAGTGATCTCCTATCACCCACTTCATGCGTACTGGAGAGAGTAGCAGATGCGCTGAAGATTATTCTGCGCAGTGTTCAGCTAATAAAATCAGAAAATAAGAAAGGTTTGAGCATAGTAACACCTGGGCAAACTCAAAAAGTGCAAGACCGATGATGTAAGTGATGCCGTCGAAACAAAAATTTTCTACAATATGAGAAGACTTTGTATACTTAATATGCTTTTGGGTACATTTTTAGAGATTATAAATAAAATAAGGCGACTGAAAGTATGGATTCATCAAGTCATGAATCATGATATTTTCATAAACTACTTGAGAATAAAATTACTTCAAATGTTAATGCTTGACTCGATTTCATTTTTGTTTTACTTGGCCTGAAGTCAAGCATTTTCAAACAACTTGATACTCGATGGCAAATTATATTTTTGTTCTACCAGAGACCTTCAGTGATATTTATTTGTACAACCGATGAGCCGTATTTTGTATGTTCATGCAAATAGTCACGAGTAGTGGAAAAGGCATGAAAATGTATTTCCAAATCTAGTTTCAATAGCAAGAAATTTTCTATCGACGCCAGCTGCCATTGAAAGGGAATTTTCTAGGGCTGCACTGACCATTACGGAATCCCGCAACAGATTAAGCGATAAATCCCTTAGGACCCTCATATGTCTTAGCTCGTGGTTAGCAAATGAAAAGCTTATCTGAAATTTTTCATTTTTTGTATCTGTTGATGAAGAAATGCTTTTGCTATTTGACTTTACAGTTATATCGTTCTATTATTTTTTCTATGATGAACAAATTATTTTGATCAAGATGTATTATTTTCTCTGTTACTTATGACAAAGTCTTTCCGTTGTGTATTTATAGTCTACTCATATTTATATTACAAAAATTATCAACCAATATCGAGGATATTTGAATTTTCAAGTACTTAACGAAAAAACTACTTATCTAATACTTGAGATGAGTTTGATTTAATTTCAAGTCGAGTAAAATCAGATAAAGTCGTGAATTCCTAACTGATAGTCTTATGAAAAGGCGATACAAGACACACGTTTCCTTTCACGAAGAGTAGAATATTTAACCTTTTTAAGACTGCCGAATAACTTTGGATCAAACAAACACATGTCGTTGATCTAGATAATTATCTCACAGTAAACAAAATCATAGCACACTTTCAAACCTATAAAAAAATTACCACTCAAAAATATTCAGAAAGAAAACATAGATATTGGACATACAAAAATCCAAAATTGCCATCGAAAATTTCACCAAAATCAACACTATCCCTTGTTTACGCGTAATCTCGAACCAAAAATGCATTTCGTACCGGAAAGCGGAAATGTCGAACTCGCGAACCTGCAAAAGAGTCACAGCCTGCTAGAAATAATTCGCGAATTATTCGAAAGCTGTTTTTTCCGCCAGCACAAAAACCAGTCAAGACGCACACATTTGCAGCCAGAAGAGAGACGTATTTAAAGTGTTATTACATAGTGCTTGGCCCAAGCCTGAATTTCTAAATACTCCTAAATCCTGAATCATTATTCCTACCATAATCCCCTACGTGGACAGTTGTAAATAATCCATTTGCATCGGCACATGCCAAAGATGGATGGAACAATATTCTGAATCCAAAAACGTATTTTTTTCTCGTTAATTGCCACATTAAAAAAACGTCATCGTCCGACATTTAAACCAACTTCAAAGCTACACGACAAATGGTGTGTCCGGTGATCGGTTTTAAGACATAATTGTTCCAATCACCGACGAGGCATAGAAATTGTGGCGAAGTAAATGTTGTATGCATGTAGCGTAATGCTTTGGTGTGTGGCCGCACTTATTAGGGACTTTGGAGAACCTAATAATGTTGTGTACAGAGTATTGAGCGTAGTTACGTATGCCTAAATAGTTAAGAAAATTGAAATTACGGAAAATTAATAGTGGGAAAAATGCGTTAAAACATTATTTATGTAACTTATATGGTTTATAAACTGCAACTATAGCAAACATTTATAATCATAAAGACACGATAAAATTGCTAAAATTTTTTTAGCATATAACAAATACAAGTAGCAGTATTTTTTCGCAAATATAATTGTTAATTAAATGAATGCTACGATGTAAAATTATACATAAAA